CAAGTCGCATGCCGTCTTCCCAGCCACCGAACGACCCGAGCGCTACGTCTAGCCATCTCCCTGTCGAACGCAGCTCATTGAAAGGCTCAGGCCACCCCGCCCAGAGTGTTCGATCCACCGACCAAGAACGCCGATCGCCTCCAGCTTCAATCAACCCGAGCATGGGGCCCCACGTCTCCTTGTTGAGAGTAGCTCACCGGAAAGTCCAGGCCACCCACCCGAAGTGTCCGACCCACCGATTGGATCGCCAATCGCTTCCGCCGCCATCGACCCGAGCACCACGTCTAGTCATCTCCCTGTTGAAAGCAGCCATCGAACGGTTCAGACCGCCGCCTGAAGTGTTCGATCCACCGATCAAATTCCGTTGATCGCCGCCGTGCTCCACCTTGCGTCCATGTCCGTCCCTGGACACCCTGTGTAGTCGTCGCGGCATGGAGCACCTCCCTCGTACCTCTACCATGGATCTCCCGCAGGCTCTGATACCACTTGTTAGAAAACCGGCCCCGAAATCACATCAGAAACCAAATGCGGAAGAAACGTCATAGGAGATCCAAACATGATGACGACACCGAGGCACGATATTTGATAACGGAGTTCAGCTGAAGCCTACATCTCCGGGGCACTGATTACGGGCGCTCCTCCCCAATCCAGCATATTACAACGTATTAGAGTTATATCGACTCATGGCCGGCTGCCGCCGGCAGCCGCTCCCTCTCGCTATGCTAAGTCGCCATGCGGTTACAACAGGCACGCCCCTCTATTTATGAGAGAACCTAGGATAGAGTCCGACTCATACTCTAGGCCTACACCTAGTACAACTCTAAGTCCTAAACTGTAACCGACTGCGTACACATATTCGACACAAAATTTAACACCCACTTCTCTGGCAGTGCACCTTATCCCAAGCGACAAGGCAGCGATACAGATCCCATTAGGCATACACGGTGTGGTGGTGCCATGGCCAATTGTGTTGATTTTCTCTGCCCACGTTAATGTTAGAGCTGAAGTTTAGATTGGCAATTTTCTAGATAAGAAGCACCCAAGAATACACTGCAAACACGTTTTTGTCGCAGCAGCTTGCGACCAGAGTATACATGCATGCACTACGATTCATCTTATTTAATTCAGACTAGCGTGGGACGCGCGCTGCACCGGTGGAGACAGAATGGAGTGTTAGTGATTACTTTTGGCAGTTTTAGCTTGATATAATTAGCAAAAGAAATTCGATCAGTTTATCTGACATAAGTGGCAGGTTTCTGTTTTTTGGTTGCAAGAAATATAATGTTGTCATGAAATCTTAAGGCAGGAATTGGAATTGGTTGGCATAGTATGCAGTGTTTTTTTAAAAAAATCATATTAATCCTTTCAAAAGTTTTTTAAGCTAATACTTAATAAATCATGCGCTAATGTGTGTGGAACCCCTCCTCCCAAACACACCCTTAAAAGTTAAATTTCGGAGTACATCACGGCTAGAGAAGGTACAGAAAGGACTGTATAAATAGAAGGTATTGTCATCGTTCATCTGATAATTATACATGCATATATGTACACACTCCATTGACAGAGAGAAAGTAGTGGATAAAATAGTTCATCTGATAATTAATAGATGTATATGTACAAAGTTAAGAACTACAATGAGATATTCTTGTCTTCCAAAAGTACACTTGAACTCTTGAGTTGTAAATGATCTCTATCCTGACCTATTAGACTGAAATATAAACCACGAAGGAAGTCTATAGCTAGAGTTACACAAAACAATGTGAATATGATATGGTATTGTGTTATTAAATAAGCCATGAATTTAGCTATCATCATAATCACTATATGGCAAAATATAAGAAAAACAGTCGCAGCGAACAATTAAGATATATGTACATTGAGCACATTTCTAAAAAAACAGTGACACTGGATATTTCCCATCCATCATCTCTGCCGACCATGTCAAAAGAATAAACGATCAACATGCGCCGCCTCTAAATTTTATCAGCAACATTAGAAGTAGCCATGTACGTTTAATCCTTGTGAACTAAAAACATCTTACACACAATGTTTTCTAAAAATATAAGAAAGCAAAGTAAAAATAACATAGATTTAAGAACATATTTAGTATAATTTTCTAAATCTAGACTGCACATGAGATATTAGAGAGTTAAGTTGGACAATATTAATCACATAATATTAATGCTTTCCTTGAAAACTCAAATCAGAAAGCTCTGAATCACAAGGACAATATATTCATGAATCACAGGGAACAGCGGCAGACAAATGCGATTGCACTTGAGGGGAAGGATTGGTACGAACCTAACAGTAATAGAGGTGATGATTACACATTGACAAGAGAAGATGGTGGGAGACTGCGGGGAGAGGGAGCACCGTCATCTGCAGGAAGCAATCAGAAGGTCAGTTCGGCCACCTCGTTCTCAAGCTGTACAATAAAATGGAATCAGCAAATGGCATATACTTTGTTAACATATTATCTACGGAAATAAGGGGGTTTTTTTTTTGCAAAAATACCATCCGCACAAGCTCCTAGCGGAGGTGACGCGTCGACTCCTGCCGCTATCTATGCCAGCGCCAAACGCAGGAGGCGCTATTTTCAGCTGGTTTGAAGGATTCTAATTTGCATCAAAAGATTTAATTATTCAACTGCGAGTATAAAGAAAACTAATTCTCAAGAAAGAACCCATATTCAAGGAACCTTAACATGCAATTTACCTTCAATTTAACATCAGTTGACTGCAAAAATTGACAATATATATTAGATGAGCAACCGATCAACACAATGATTAGCAGCGAGCCTGTTTAGATCCCATCCAGAATTTTACACCTTGTCACATCGAACGTTTGAACACTTGCATAAAGTATTAAATATAGGCTTAAAAAACTAACTGCACAGATTGCGACTACTTTGCGAGACAAATTTTTTAAGCCTAATTACTCCATGATTTGACAATGTGGTGCTATAGTAAACATGTGCTAATGACGGGTTAATTAGGCTTAATAAATTCGTCTCATGGTTTACTGGCAGATTTTGTAATTAGTTTTCTTATTAGTGCCCCAACTCCCCGTGCGATACCCTATATAATATCCGATGTGACACGTCAAAACTTTACACCCCTAGATCTAAGCACCCCCTATGATGGCAAAACCCTGCATTGCTTGTGGAGGCTCTGATGATGTATACAGGGGGAGCCCCAAATCGCGCCAATATGATCTGGCACCTGAATAGCGACTCAAGCAGCTCTGGTCTACTTGTGATCTCATGATCATCAACATCGATCTGCTCTCGGTCTCCCGTTACTGATCGAGATAAGATCGGTAGAAGGGCTTTGAAATATATCGGACGTTGTCGGAGGGTAAACTCCTCAAGCGGGGGACTGTGGGGGCCCCTCTTTTGGTTCGGACCGGGGACACGGGTGAAGGTTTGAGAGATGAAGGGAAGGTGATGCAGAGGGGGTCGGGCCCCTCGGGAGCAATGGGGACACAAACGGTCTATACAGGTTTGGGCCACTATGGAAGCGTAATACCCTACTCCTGTGTGTGGTTGGATCTGGTGAGGAAATAAAAGCGCTTTCCGCCCTCCGTCCCCCTTTTCCCCCACGCATGGACATCTTTTTATATGTTAAGGGGTTACCAATAATATTCTTTATAGGTAATTAATGTGTGTCTTGTCCTCTCGACGTGTGAAGCCATGCGCGCCTTACCGTGACATGGGCCCCATCCCATCATGCCGAATGACGTGGGCGTCCGCCCATGTCATTCCTCCTTAAATGTCGATGATTTCTGGCCATCCGGCTCCACCACAGGGTAGGGATCTCTCGAACGGACCGGCGTGGAGAAAATGTTGGTCCGAGTCTAAGGGAGAGGCAAAAAAACCCCTCATTAATGGCGACGGGACGGGGCAGACGCAAGCCATGTCCCCTGCCAGCAGCAGGCGCGTGTGCATAGTGCCCTGTCCTATGCCTATCCGTCGTCACATCGGTCATTCCCGCTGCAAGCGACCTGTTAGTGTGCATGCTCGCCACATTAAATGTGGCGTGCCGCAGCAGACAGGACCTCATTAAACGCGGTAGTTGGACGCTGGGAATGCAAGCCCGTGGCACACACGCGAATCAAAGCGAGGAGGGGCTCAGGGCGGGCCGACCCCTGGCTCGGGAGGCAGCCACCGCTCCAACCCCGGGCCCGACCCCCCTTGGGGGGTGCCACATGGGTTTGGGGTGGCCTTCTCCCTCTGTACGGGGTACCCCCGGGCCCATATCACCGACGGACGTAGATTAGGTTCGCTTTAAAAGTGGCCCACAATTTTACATAGATTAGATTTTCTTTAAAAGTGTCCCACAATTTGATTTTGTCATCTACGGTGGTGATAATACAATCTAGCAAATCAACGACCAGATTTTTTTCATTAATTTGAGAACTCGTATAAACTGCCCGATTAGTATAGGTACTTTTCCTTTTCCAGAAAGGGTACCCTCGTAATTTATATATCCTATATAGTTAGAACCAAAAGCTTGACATGCATAGGGCCACATACTTACTTACTGTAGTTATATTATAATAAATCTAAATATCCATTAGAACCATACATGTCACCTAGATAAATTATAGACACATTAGATTTTTCTCATGTTTGGTATATAACAATTTATGTGTCATATACAATAAAAATTTTAAATCACCAGATATCAAGCTTAAAATATTATCTTTTTATATATTATAATTTCTTTTCTTAAAGCTTTTTTTTACATATTTCTAAATTTTTCCGCTGCAACGCGCGGGGTAATCGCTACACCCCTGGTTTGACTTTTTACTTAATCAAACTTTGTTAAATTTGACTAGGTTTATAGATAATTTAGCAATAATCAAATTAGTTTTATTAAATTTAATATGGATATATATTGATAATGTGTTTGTTTTACGTTAAAAATACTAAAGTTTGCAAGGAAAAAAAAGTAAAACGACTTGTAATAAGGAGTAGTAGTATTTATTCATCTTCTTCCCCGCACCGCACCTCGGCTCTACCTACCTCTCCCGATTCCCCAATCTGCGGTGTGGTGTGGTGCGGTGCGAGCCGGACGCAGGCGTCGCCTCGCCTCGTCGCGCGCGCGGCTGTAGAGAGAGAAGCCTCGTAGACACCCTAGCCTCCTCCACCGGCCTTGCCCTCCTCGCGCGCACGGCCTCCTCCACCGGCCTTGGCCTCCTCGCGCGCACGGCGGGCGGGGCGTGCAGGTTTGGGGGAGTAGCGACGGCGACGCGCCCGACCTCCGTCCACCTGCCTCCATATCGGTTCGGTTCGATTCACCACCTAACTGTTGTGTTGCTTTGATTTTGAAAAGATGGATGTGCTATGTGGTATGCCCTAGACTATTTTTAAAAAGAATTACTTATTATGTGGCAGAATGAGGATTCTGTATTTCTGAAAATGGACCAAATCAGCCTCTAACTGGTTCTCTTGAACAAATGCCATATATATGCCGATCGATGCTTGTTATACATGGACATGTCAGTATTAGTTTACCTCAATTGTTTAACTATAATTAGGTCTTGTGTTTTGATGTTGGGTCCGAGTATGCCTTTTGATAGTCCCAACTCAAAGTGTACAATTCTGTTTCATGGACTCTAACTCAATACTCGTTTTTAAGGCAGTGGGTAAGCTAAGAAAGTCAGTTGCCTTTTTTTTCCCTTGTCATTGTGCAGGGCTGCAGCATGTATGAGGAAGACAACATTCAGGGAGAATTGTTACTCGTTCAGGCAGAACTTGATGACATCCAAGGTCACCGCTAATCATGCATATTCTGCAATATGTGCTATCCCTTTGATTCATAAACGTTCCTCGGATGAGATCAAGTGATTAACCCTTCTGTGTAATACATAAATGGGAGGCAGGGGTTTCTAGCTCACCATATCTAAGTGCAGTTGAATTAAATTATAGCAAGTACAACAATTTTCGGGGGTTAGATTGGCATCTCCTGCTCCGTTTTTCTCATTGATGAATATTTTATCACTGTCTATATTACATCACAAATACTAATTGTTATAAATCCATAGGTACTTTCATACAAATAATACAAAACCACATCCCTCTTTAGTCTTTAATTTTTGCCGGGATTCATAATATTTTTGCCGGGACTATTTAGTCTTTAATTTACATGAAGTCTAATTATCACCTTACACTATGATGAAACAAATCAACTATGCCTATATAAATATGCTGCTAATGTCATTATGTATCTTCACTTGCATTAATTTACATGAAGTCTAATTATCACCTTACACTATGATGAAACAAAGCAACTATGCCTATATAAATAGGCTGCTAATGTCATTATGTATCTTCACTTGCATTATGATCAGCAGTGGCCACCTTTTCCTTTGTGGTGCTAGTGCTCTGTTATTTCCTCATATTACAAATTATCCTTTCATTTTCTCACTTAAATTCATGTTTCTCAGGGCAAATTAGTGCACTGATTGATCGTCAAGAGGAGCTGTATGAGCGTGAATCACAGCTGAAAGCTATGCTCGAAGTATCTAAAGCATCCAACAACACAATCAATAATACCCCTTCAGTTGGTCCAAAAGATTGGTCTGGGAGCTTCTTATGGGACTCTCGGGCTGATGATGTTCGTTTTAATGTATTTGGGATTTCTTCATACCGGCAGAATCAAAGAGAGGTAAGGTTAGTAGAAGTTATCTATATTTTTATGTTGGACACTGCTTAAACAACTAAGAAGAGTAGAAGTTATCTTTTTTTATGTTGGACACTGCTTACAACTACGAAATAAAATACAAAGTGAGATTCATATAATCATTTCATTTAGCGAAGAAACCATATATTTGGTGTGCTTCAGACATACATGGGCTGCTATATGTATTCTATTATTTATCATTAACTTGTGTGTTGCTCAAAAAGAAATAATCTTTTAGAATTATGTTACTATCCCCACATTCTTTCCCTTTTGTTCTCTTGGTACTGTTGAGCCTAGCCCTAGATGTACATACCACAACTTGCTATACTGCTTACAGTTTCTTTATTTTGCATCCTTTTAAGCATATTGCAACCTTCCAGATAATCAATGCCATCATGAGTGGAAGAGATGTACTGGTCATAATGGCTGCTGGTGGAGGGAAGAGCCTCTGCTATCAACTACCTGCTGTACTTCATGATGGAATTACATTGGTTGTTAGTCCTTTGCTTTCCCTTATCCAGGACCAGGTATTTAAGCTTTCAAGATCGTAGTTTTCACTGCATTTTCCAAGTCATCAAGTAGACAAAAGGACACCCATGGACATCACGTATGAGAGAGATAGGATAATATCTGTGTTGTCAAAGCTTTATCTGTCTGGCCTCTAGTGATCCCCCGCGTGTTATACTCACTGTCTCTGCCTATAATCTCTTCTAGAAGAAAAGAAGAGGAAAACAGCCAGAGCTCTGCCTATTCAATCAAGAAGAATATAAAGAAGCATATACATTTGCAGTCACAATTTGAAAACTAAAGCAATAACTAAGTCAAAACAACTAGAACTAATTCATTCCTCGCTATTTCCATTGGCTAATGACTATAATCTCCATTTTGAGGTTCATATCCAGTTCTCTGGTGCCCTCGTTCCCTAAAGTAGCCCACATGTCCATGTTGTCATCACCCCTCATGGGCTCATCGCAACATGCATAGCCTGCATCATCCTCGTGGCCTAGTACATTCTACATTGCTTCCAGCTGGCTGTCGTCATCAACACAGACTCCAGATCCAGCTATTCAAGCGCTATTAGACTTGTTCCCCTATCTCTATGCTGTGATTTTCTGCTTTCTTCTGTTCTCTTCTTCTCACTTCTACTCTCTACTATGTTTCTCTCTGGTTCTCTTCTAACTCTTTGCTCTCTGCTCAGCCTTTCTTTAAGTCTCTTGTCTTCTCCAGGCAATGCCTGTACACCTGCCTAGTCTGCTTGCTGACATGGTGTTGTCTAGGCCACCATGACTACCATGAGAATTTATTTTATCTTGTATATGATCATTACCATTATTTGATTTGTTCAATTCTAGGTCATGGGACTAGCAGCTTTAGGTATACAAGCATACATGCTGGCTTCAACTACCAATAAGGAAGTCGAGAAGTTCGTCTACAAGGCGCTTGATAAAGGTGAAGGAGAACTGAAGATATTGTATGTGACACCTGAAAAGATATCCAAAAGTAAAAGGTTCATGTCTAAGCTTGAGAAATGCCACCATGCAGGGCGTCTTTCTCTCATTGCAATAGATGTGAGTTTTTTACCACACAATAAAGCATGTTTACTCTGATTAAGGTTGGATGATGTGCTTGTACATGCTTTTGCTTACTCTGTCTCTCTTAAGAATATTGTTTTGCTTTGAGTGTGTTTTACTATTTAAATACTAACCCATCCCTCTTGGACTAGAAAAAAATGATTTGCAAAAAAAACGAAGAAGACTTGTTGCCATTGTCTACACTCGTGCTAATCACTTGTACAAAATGAGCAGTTATGATGAATTGGTTTATTCACTGTTCACATTTTATAAGTTATTCATATTGGTTTTTAGTTTTTATTATGTTTCTCATCATATAATGATCTTATCAAGTGTGAGCATAGCTAGTTGACATATGTTTTAAGCAGTTAAGCACATGTGTATCTAGAGTCTGCGATTACCAATTTATCATTGTAATTAAGTGTTATCATGCAGGAGGCACACTGCTGTAGTCAATGGGGCCATGATTTTCGCCCAGACTACAAGAATCTTGGCATTTTAAAGGTCCAGTTTCCCAGTGTTCCTATGATAGCTTTAACTGTGAGTTGCGAAAATAATATCCATTTTTTACAATAATTAAATTTTAACTGTAATGTGAAATAAGGCCTGCTTCTTTTTTTGCAGGCAACTGCGACAAATAAAGTGCAAATTGATTTGATAGAGATGCTTCATATCCCTAGATGTGTCAAGTTTGTCAGCACAATTAACAGGCCCAACCTTTTCTATAAAGTATGCCTTTTCTCAATTTCAAATCGAGGAAAATCCATCCATACCACAGATTTTGCCAAATTCAAAGAATACCACAAAATTTGGGAAGTGCCAATTAATACCACAACTTTTGCCAACACTTCCTATCTGTACACTGAGCTAGAGAAATGTCACTTTGCCCTTCTTCCTCACCTAACCTTCAATTTTCTATCCTTTGCCTGAGTTTGAGTTGCTGCTGCCAGCTTGAGCAGCCACTGTTAGGAGCGAGTAGATTCACCCCAGTAGTCAGTAGACTTTTTCTTAAATATAAGAAAGTGCAATGCAGAAGAATGAAGATGTGAAGAGAACATTTCACTAGTCTTGTATAGTTGTATTTGCCTTTAACATTCTTTTGCTATTCAGGTATTTGAGAAATCACCAGTTGGAAAGGTCGTCATTGATGAGATTGCAAACTTTATAAGTGAATCGTACCCGAATAATGAATCTGGGATTGTTTACTGCTTTTCTAGGAAGGAATGTGAACAGGTTAGTATAGTCACTGATGAATGCTTCAAGTTTCTTTTATTTGCTGACATGTGATTTGGTTGGATAATCCACTATCTGTAACTTTTGAATTTCTATTCAATTCTGGTTTGTGTTTTACAGTCTTTCACATGCTACACTATCTGTCAGTTCATATATATTCGATTTGCTAGATGCTAAATTTAACATAGGGTAGCTGCGGTAAAGATTGGAGCAATAAGAGATTGGTAATGGGTCAAGGCCCATGGGTTCTTTCACAACCATACCTGCCCTCATATTTTTAGGTCAAAAATGTATAAAATTTCAGCCCACCCCATTTTAGACCAGGCCCTCAAATTTTGTAGGCTAAATAGTTGGGCCCATTACCACCCCTAGACACTGGTGCATGATAACATTGCATTTTGTTTTTGATAAAATTATATGCTATTGTTGTTTTATGAAACGCCCATCTAAAGATGCAGCAAGGTTACAGTTTTGAACAAATAGTTGCTGTTTCGTGAAATTTACTCTTTATATAGTTAAAAATGGGCAGTGGTTGAAAGCCATGTCTTGGACTTCTCTACTTTACTGACTGCACATTGTCAACTTTAGTTCTCTCAATGCAAACATAAAGCTAACATGAACTACATTCTGAAAATAAGAATTGACAAGTAACCGATTGTTTTCTTTCTTCTCAAATGGGAATAAATGTTTGCAAAGTATGATTTCATTGGTTGCATCTTCCATTTACTAAATATTATGGCTTACCATTTTCAGTTACCATCTGAATTTATAATTGTTAGAGATTCTTTTGATATGCACTATGCCTAACACATGATTGCTGCATCTATATCTATACTATATCCTAATGCTGTGTTTCATGGTTAGTCTTCAAGGACTTTCTTGTATTCTAAAATGGCCATCCGCTGACCAACAGTATCTCTCACACTGCTTCATCAACTATTTTATAATTCTGTGCTTTTACTGACAAACAGGTCGCAAAAGAACTGTCTGAAAGGGGTATTTTAGCAGATTATTATCATGCAGATATGGATGTTATTTCTCGTGAGAAAGTTCATATGCGGTATGCTCAGAATTTTTTTTATCCTTGTTTGTTACTTTGAGATGAACTTTATTTGGTCTTGTACATTTATAAGCAACATATGTAGTACATACTGATCAACAAGGTTGAATTGTCTCTCTCTGAACATGCTCACTTTTGAATAATCACATGCATATAACTGCAAAGTATGGAATTTATATGTAATAGGAGAGTTCCTCTTCAACTTCATACAGGTTTCTCTCTGAACGAATAAATTAAACATTTTTAAACTGTATAAATTCTTCATTTGCTATGTATGTTTGTGCGTGAAAGCTTTAGCTACCAATATTATTCTTATAATGTTTAATAATTCTAATATTAAAATCACAGTAACCAGAATGAACCGGTGGTTTAACAGAGCAAAAAGAAAGCGGAACGTAGCTCAGCTCGGTTCAAGATGCTAAATAGTTCAGGTAAAAGAAAAACAGCATAAATGGAATGTTGTATATGACCCGTGCAACCGTGCTAGTTGGAGCAAACTTGCTGTCTTTTGTGGACAGGCTAACTCTCCTACCACCTCTTTTTCTGGTATATCTGCAAGAGGCATGTCATATAACAAGTTTCCTTGGCTATACTTGCACCAGAGGAATTAAAAAGAATGAATGTGCAGTTTCTCAAAATGTCTACTTTTAATTACTATTGTCCAACTGCTCAATCCCTTATTGGATTACAGCTGCCTGATCTATGAGTAGCATGTTTCTGATTTAGTTGAAAATACAAATCTGTGTTGTTAATCACCTTTAAATGTTTTTGGACCTTGTAAGTATGATGCAATGATGCATTCAACAGTAGTTTTGTACATTGAAATTTCTATGACTGTAATTCTGTATCGCCATTGTAATTTGATGTTGAGCTCTTATGGTTGCCGACAATTTTGTGAACCATTTCTTTCAACAGCTGGAGCAAAAGCAAATTGCAGGTCATTGTTGGAACAGTATGCATCCACCCCCCCCCCCCCCCCTCGTCTATGCCCCCCTCTCCTCTCTCTCTCTCTCTCTATCTCTAACATTCAAGTTTTGTATTAATTTATGTAGGTGGCGTTTGGAATGGGAATCAACAAGCCAGATGGTGCGTTAAGTTTTGGTCTTTCATCATAATGATGACATATGATGTGTTCAAGATGTAGATGTGCACTTATCTAATCTAATTATATGGTACCAGCAGGATTAAACAGATGGGGATTAGCCCGTCATTGATCGCAGGTCATGGGAAACAGTCGAAACCCTGTAGATGTTATTACAGGTAGTAAAAATATTAGGAAACTTAAATGTTTGGTAAAACATGAAGAACTGTGTTTCAAGGCGGCCAAAATTTCCAACTATTTAGTAAATTGCCCCATAAGTCTCTAAATTTGCAAGGTGCAAGTTGGTCCATTATCTTAGAAGCTGGAAACGTTCTAACTTGTATGAATGATTCAAATAGATTCAGAGCTGGTGCTTAACCAGCGTCAGGAAGATAACCTGGCGTGTCAGCTACTGGAGAAGGGATGTAGATTTAGACTAGGAGAGAACATAGGTGAGAGAGATTAGACTAATTGATTTTCATTGCTTAATAATAATAGACACAATTCCTTCCTTATATAGATGGAATTTAACTTGACCCCTAAGTAAGGACTCGATCTAATCTTATCTCTAACTAGATCTCAATCTAACTTATCCCTATCCGAAGTACACGTGGTCGGCCTGTCGACCCGATGATCATGACACTAGAGACACCTCACCACAGTTTTTAGGGAAACCCTCCCTATAATTCATTTGAAATATATTCTTTGTCGCATATCAGAGTGATGAGACAGGCTGCTGTTCTTTCTGACTATGAGGTTACAGGGAAGATATGAGAAAGAGTAGTTGGGGAGAGAATGGGAGAAAGAAGAAATGTCATATTTGTTTCCACGCGCCACTTCACATAAGTGTCTAAGGCCACATGGATGCCTTGTCAAACCAACTTTTGATCTATTTGAACCAATATGTGTTCATGGACTAGTTTTCAGTTTATTTGCATATTTGAATCCACTTGCAAACTTTTCGAAGTACTGTATGATATCTTCTTTCACTCGTTCTTTCTCTTATATCCTCTCACAAATCTGACTTACTGGAACTAGTTAGATTTGTGCTATGGCATAGTTCATAATTATTTGGACAATCCATATACTATATGTTCCCATGCTCCTTCGTTGTCCTAGAATATTTCAGCATAGGCTTCTCAAATAAATTGCATGTCTTTTGTATACTGTGACTACTATTAGTTTTTGAATTACCGATAAGTAGCAGTTACAGACTGGTGATATCGAACAAATTGGACTATTATGTTTGCAATTACATATCTAAGAAATAAATTAAATCTCATTTTGTTTCTGTAGTCAGGTTTGTGATTCACCACAGCCTTAGTAAATCTATGGAAACATACTACCAGGTACATCTAATTATTTAACCAACTTTCTTCTTTTCTCTGACTACTTGGTCCATTTTAAATAGATCTTATTGATTTTAGGAAAGTGGAAGGGCAGGGAGAGATGGACTACCTTCAGAATGTATTCTGTATTATCGACCTGGTGATGTTCCACGCCAAGTAAGACTAAAGATGTCTTCCTTTTTCTCTTGGTGTGGCTTCTTGCTTCCTCTTATCGATATGCTGTTTTTTCAATGAGCAGAGTTCAATGGTCTTCTATGAAAACTGTGGCCTGCAAAATCTTTATGACATAGTACGATATTGTCAGGTAAATTCCCAGTGCTCCGCCAAAATGAATAATATTTGATTTTCTTAATTCTTTATACCCTCAACATAGATTTTGTTAGTCTCAGTTCCGCCCCTTTTCTACTCATAACTGTACAAGAAAGTCATTTATGTATAATCTCACACTGCTGTTTAAGTGATCAATCCAACTGAACTTCCTGCCTGGAATTTTGTACAACACTCCAAAAATAACTTCCACTGAAAATGTACAGGAGCATAGGGATCAATATACCTTTCCACAGAAAATGGACATCATAACTTGCTGTCGGATCTCTCTCTCTAGGAATAAAACATGCAATAGGTCCTGAGATAACATAGGACAAAAGTTGTTCATACAACGAAAAGTAATATTGTAAAGTTTTATTGCAATATACTTATACTAGAGTCCTACTCGGAACTGTGTGAACAGACTTAGGCCTATATAACAAGTAATAAAGATTAGGAAATAGTTTGAAGCTCATTAACTTACATGACCTGAGCATGCTATATTTGCCATAATTAGCTTTTTTCTGAACATCCAACATGGTTATCTGTAGTTTATTCACATTTATTTCTGATCGTAAGCTCGCCTGTTTATAGTCTAAGAGGAGCTGTCGTCGTGGTGCTTTCTTCCGGCATTTTGGAGAGGCTGCACAAGATTGCAATGGTGTTCTCTCATTACTTTCTGAGTACATGACTAAACTTTTGGATTTATCATACTTAAACAGTTTCTTCTTGTAGGAATGTGTGACAACTGCACTTCTAGTCTTGAGCTCAAGGAGATAGACGCTACCCGTATGATGATTTTACATCAGCTTGGAAATTTTACTGTTGCACTGAATTACATACTTGATACTTGCATGTTCTTTAGTTTATATTTTTACAAAATGGTATTTTTGGGAGACATATTTCTTGGAAAGATTTCGTTTATGTATATTTACACTTCGATTGTTTCTATGACTTATTGTACAGACCATACTAAAATTATTGTTTCGCTTCTACATGATATCCAACTTAATGACCAAAGAGCTACATTGTTGCAGCTGGTTGATAAGTTCAAGGCAAAGTGGAAAGATTTAGGTGAACTTCCTCCAACCAAACACCCTTTTTTGTGTGATTCAAGTTGATGATTCATTTAATTTATACCATTTGCCTGCATAAATATTGAATGACCCAGAAAACAGTTCTGATATTACTACTGATCATGGATAAGCAGGTTGTTCAAATGAGTCCATTGATCTTAAGAAAGAAGGCATTGAACAGTTGGTAGTTCAACTTATACTCGATCGGGTTTTGGTATGTGTGACTGCAAATACTGCCATGCGAATTCACAAGTTTATTAATGGTGATTAATGTCCATTATGAATCTCACATTCAGGTTTATAATTCACCTAGTACTGCTACTATTGAAACATTTATTTGGAGTACTTCACTTGTAACATTAAATGTATGTTTATATAACTACTGCAAGTTCTATAAGAACTACTTCAACCATGGACAAGGGCTGAGCACCACACACTCCAGACCCAGCCCAAAATCCAAGACCATGGTGTAATACCAGATCTGGTTTAGTTGTATATTTATTGGTTTGTTTTATTTTTATTTTTTTCTGTATCTTATAATGGTTTTATATTCCCCCCATTTGTAAATGTAGCTGTGTAAGACAGCAGAATAAGAACCAGGTTCCAGTGGTTGCTATACTCCTGGCTACTAGCTGGGATTTCATAAACTTGCATAAACCAACTGGTTTTGGGAAACCCTGTAGATTTGAAATGAGCATTTTGCTTTGATAATGGCAATGTGGAAAATAGTGCTACCTTTTTTCTGGTTAACTACACGACACATTCTCTATAATTACCATGCTGCATTGTCTTGTGGTCAAAATAATTATATTTTGCCACTAATGTTTTGAGAAAAAAAATCAATAAACGTTTTGAAGCAAAGGTGTTTGTGCTTGTATTGTGGCCATCCCCAATCTTTGTTTTCCAAAAATGAAGCTTTTGCTTTTATAATCTTATATATCAATAAAAAGCAGTAGCAAGATCATAACATTATGAAACTATTTTAACAAAAAGTCTAATAATATGGTCTTCACATTTTCATAGCTTTAGCTGCTTTCTTTGTTTGCCTCAAAGACCTTGATTTGATTTGCAATGATTACTGAAGAACTGTTTATCCCTCTTAGAAAGAAGAATTTCAGCATACAGCATATGCAACCAATGCATATGTTGCCTTGGGACCACTGTGGAAGCCAGCACTACAAGGTAAATGTTTCTTTCTCGTGAACTTTCCATCTTATTTTACGAGCGATGGATGAACATCTTATGTGTAAAGTTCAACGCTTGAACACACCACTATCTTTGTTATTGCTAGATGGATTGTGACCGTACACTAATTAAAATTCTGGCCCTTGACCTGCCTTAAACTTTGAGGTTTTTCTTGATGTGGTCATGTGTTCATGTTTGGATAATTTAGGAAATTGTGGAACGTATGTGAATATGTTTTTTTCGTATATATGCAGGGAACAGACCGGTCAAGCTTAGCGTTGCTTTTCACTCTCAGGATAAAGGTAGTGGATCCAAACGGACTAAGCGCAACCAGATGAGTAATTTGGAAGCTAAGCTTGATGACCTGCGGAGAGAGCTCTCTTCCAGTAATGGAGGCGTATTCCCACATGCTGTTCTTTCTGCCCAGCAAATTTCCCTCCTGAACCGCCAAAAACCAACCACTGTTGCTGAGGTGAGGTTTGGTTCAAATATTCTCTTATCCTACTTAGTGCTATCCTAAGTGTATATATGGACCGTCTCTAATTTATATGTACATTTTATCTGCGGCCTGCAGCTTGAAAAGCTTATAGGAAAGGTTAAGACAGGTAAGTACGGGAGCGCGATCATTGAGCTCATGCTGTTACATATTGATTCAGAAGTAGCCGGAGGAAAGGCCTGTGCATCGAAGAGGCAAAAGAAAGATAAGGAGGATGTTATTTGTGTTGAGAGTAGCGAGGAGGAGGATGTTTAAGCGTTATCATGGTTTTTCTTTTGAAGGCTAACGAGGCAAATTTATTGTTGAACCTTGAGTGAACCTTGAGTTGTGTTGGGATTTAAACGAGTTCTGAAATATATGTAGTTGAGGAATTACAGTGTCAAGCTAAGGCAAATATGGAATATCTAGGGAATGTTTTGGTTTATTGTCATTTTCAACTTTACCAGGCTTGGTATTTTTTAGAAAAAGCAACAAACCATCGTCCGCTAATTAGCTATCATATCACAATTTGATAATTACATAAGTTCACTTATAAAAAACTATACCAAAATTTGACAATCCTTCAAATCGAACACATTCTAACATTGGCCGTGTTTAGTTTCATGCCCAAAATTTTTTTAATGTATATGGACACACATTTAAAGTATTAAAAGTAATCAAATAACAAAACAAATTATATAATCCTACCGTAAACTGCGATGTGAATTTATTAAGTCTAATTAATTAATCATTAGTAAATGTTTACTGTAGCACCATATTGTCAAATCATGGCGTAATTAGGCTCAAAATATTTGTCTCGTAATTTACATGCAAACTGTGTAATTGGTTTTTTTTTCCGTCCATATTTAATGCTCCATGCATATGTCCAAACATTTGATATGACATTTTTAGCCAAAAATTTTTAGAATCTAAACACACCCGTTACTAAAACTTCGTAGCATTGTCATATTTTGGTAAGGTTGACTTTTTTTTCTTTCAAACCCTATTTGGGAGAGCTTGAAACTAGTACAACTCTCAGAATCTCTGGCTCAGAATTCTTCCCGAAATAGGGCCTGACTGATGTTATAGACCGGAGAGGTCAGAAAGGCAGCATGTTGGAAATCAAAGATGATGCAATATCCCAACACGTTGGAATGAAACTTGGGAAATAAAAATGGAAATTCAACAAAACTTGAAGGCAATTTGGCATGGTAATGAGTGGTGGCGGCAGTAGAGAAGTGCTATTGCCAATTAGTAGTACTCCAGTAGCAATGAGGAGAAACTAATCAACTAATAATAATGGCAGCAACAATCATCCATTCTCCAGTCCATTGTGAGGAGAAAATTAGTGAGAGAAGACGATTGTTGATTCACATTCACCATCCACCGGTGCGGAGCTGAGAGAGAAGAGGAGAGAGGGAGCAGGAGCAGGAGCAGGAGCTGCTCAGTGGGAGCGGGCGGCGTAGCGCTCGACATTTTGGTCGTTGAGGTTGATGCCGACATGGCGTCCCCGAGGCCAGCGCTGACGTCGGCGAGGATCTCCGGATCGCTGTAGTGGGTGACGGCCTGCACGATGGCGCGGGCGCGGCGCGCGGGGTCGCCGCTCTTGAAGATGCCCGAGCCGACGAAGACGCCGTCGCAGCCGAGCTGCATCATGAGGGCGGCGTCGGCGGGGGTGGCGACGCCGCCGGCCGCGAACTGCACGACGGGGAGGCGGCCCAGCTGCTTGGTCTGCATGACCAGGTCGTAGGGCGCGGCGATGCGCTTGGCGTAGGAGAAGACCTCGTCGTCGTCCATGTTGCGGAGCGCGCGGATTTCGCCCATCACGGAGCGCACGTGGCGGACGGCCTCGACGACGTTGCCCGTGCCGGCCTCGCCCTTGGTGCGGATCATGGCGGCGCCCTCGCGGATGCGGCGGAGGGCCTCGCCGAGGTCGCGGCAGCCGCAGACGAAGGGGACGCGGAAGTTGTGCTTGTTGATGTGGTGGGCGTCGTCGGCGGGGGTGAGCACCTCGCTCTCGTCCACGTAGTCCACGCCGATGGCCTCCAGGATCTGGGCCTCCACGAAGTGGCCTATGCGGGCCTTGGCCATGACCGGGATGGTGACGGCGCGCTTGATGTCGCGGATGAGCGCCGGGTCGGACATGCGCGCGACGCCGCCCTGGGCGCGGATGTCGGCGGGGACGCGCTCCAGCGCCATGACCGCGCAGGCGCCGGCCTCCTCGGCGAGGCGTGCCTGCTCGGGGGTGACCACATCCATGATGACGCCGCCGCGCAGCATCTGGGCAAGGCCCACCTTGACGGAGAAGGTGGCGGCGGGGGGCTTGCAGGAGACCTTGCCGCCGCCGTAGAGGGCCACGACGCCGTCGTCAGAGGACGCCATCCTGTGGATCTTGCCCTGGACGAGGTGGAGTGGAATAGTAGTGGATTGGTGGGATTTTTTGGCGATTTGGGATGGAATGTGATACTGATATGGTTGCGGTGGCCGTGCTCGTGGCCCCAAATGAAAACGTTAAGGTTTATCTTTCCCACGGACTTTCCCCATATTTCACTCAAATTTACTGTTTAAATTTTCAAAAACTGTCCCGAAATCTACTTTTATCCTGTATTGAAACCTCAAATTTATGTGGTTTTTGGTTGAAAGTTTCTTATCGAGTTAAAAATTTTCTAGTTTGAGCTGAATTTTTTCTCCGCACAAGTAGAAAGGGGGTGTATTTTTTTTTCCGCACATGTAGAAAGGGGGTGTTTAGATCTAAAGGTGTAAAGTAGAGTGTCGCATGGGGTGTTCGTGCACTAATAAAAAAATTAATTACAGTATCCGTCAAGTCAAATTTATTAAGCCTAATTAATCCATCATTAGCACATGTTTACTGTAGCACCACATTATCAATTCATGGAGCAATTAGCCTTAAAAGATTCATCTCGCAAAGTAGTCGCAATATGTGCAATTAGTTATTTTTTTAGCATATATTTAATACTTCATGCAGGTGTTTAAACGTTTGATGCGACAAGGTATAAAATTTTGGGTGGGACCTTAAGTTTCTATTTTGAATCATTTGTTTTTTACAATTCTTAGTTGAAAGTTTTCATATTTTTCGAATAAAATTTTTACCAGAGTTTAAAGTTACTAGGATTTTAAAAACAAGGGGTGTATGCACGGTATACTACCATAATCCGACTTCTTATCGTATCAGATATGGGAACACGGCTGCACGTAGCAAAAACCCCAAATAGAGACGTCTGCGTGATCACGGCCCTGACTCCTGCCTGGCGCACCTGCGCACGATAGCAAACCGCCCACACAGCACGTTTATTTCTGGTAAAACTTAACGAAAGCCTCAACTTTGTAAAGGTTAGTGGCACAGTTTAGGGGTAAAACCCAAATTATTGACCAATTTAAGCTAAGCACGACTTGTCTGCAAATTTTATGGCCGGAGGATTATTGGGCACGAATTCTATAGGTAAAATTTTGCATCAGAATAGGACTTCTCCCAGTCCCAAGATCATTATAATACTCTATTTTAATATAGGCTTTGCTGACAGAGTAGATTGTACACAAGCCAGATGGTATTCTTTATCTTCTTGTTTTTCCAGGGCGAACCCTGCTCGGCTCCGTTCTTTTCTCCAATAAAAGTTGGATGAAATTAGATATTCATGGCACGTTTTTTAAAGTGCTAAACGGTACGTTTCGTACGAAAACTTTCTATATGAAAATTACTCTAAAATATCATATAAATATATTTTTCAAGTTTATAATAATTAAAACTCGATTAATCATATATTAATACCACATCGTTTTGCGTAAAACACGTATTCTTTATCTTCATCTTCATCTTTATCTATATGAGTTTCAAAGGGTTCCCAGGTGTAACTTTATTTCCTACCTACTCTTTTGAGTCTGAAATCCAAATAAGTCACATACTCCCTCAATAAGTCATTACTCTCACCGTTTCATACTACAAGTCATTTAACCTTTTACTTAGTCAAATTTCTTTAAATTTAATCACGTTTATAGAAAAATATACTAATATTTTTTAATATAAATAAATATATTTAATTTTAAATTTTAAAAACTAATTTGGTATTGTAGATGTTGCTAATTTTTTCTATAAACTTAGTAAAACCTATATTTACCTAAGATAAAAGCCAAACGACTTATAATATGAAACGGAGGGAGTAGTATATAGCGAAATGAGTCACATAGTATATAGCGAGATAATCATGTGCATTGTCTCACTTATGATATATAGCAGGCAGGGAGCAAAGCAGTTAATATCATCCTAAATCTGATTTTTTTTCAGCTCGATCGAGCTGAAGCCTAATCCATGACCCCTCGTCATCAGCTAGCATTAGACCCCTACATATATAGTAAGACCGAAGGGGATCTTAATTATGAATCATGCATGTAATGTTGCACGTTGGAGCATGCATGTATATGCTCCATCATGAGATACTGAGATTGAGACGAATGGAAGGTCAGTCCCATTGGATAGTCCTGTGGAAGGTCCAGTCGGAGGGGTTGACGGTGGATTGGCCGCTGGAGGAGACGAGATCATAGGGTGAGTCCTCCCCAAACTCTGTCGGCATCGCCTTCCAGTGCAGGCATGGATCCCACTCTGCCTCCTTGAGGATCCTCAGGATCTCTTCCACAACAATCTTGCTCCCTTCTTCAGACAGATGAAGCCCATCCCTGCACCCACCCACATTCACAAACAAACCACCAATTGATCCAAATAGATATGATACTGATCAGGAAATGGATGAATTATCAATCAGCAGCACTCACGTGAAGCAGGCCGTCGCCCAGTCGTCCCGTTTCTGCATAGCATTCCAAAGATCAACCACCTTCAGGTCCATCTCTTTGCATAGAGATACACAGGCTTCGGAGTATAGGCGGCAAGTTTCGTTTGTCCGCACTATCTCACTCAGGACAGTGCTGCATGGATTATATGCACAACATTTGAATCATACTAGTACTTTCCATTCAAATATCAACCAACAGATCCTAGCCAAGAAATTAAGATTATCCCTAATTTGCACCTGGTTGATTTTCGGAGCGTCTCCTCGTTAAGTGGTGGGCAGCTGAGGAAGATGACACGGGTCTTCTCAGACAAGCTCTGAACATAAAGGCAACAGTCAAGCAAGTTCACAAACGGTACAAGCAATTTGCATTCTGTACCTTCAGGTGGTCTGCGATCTTTCTCATGTTGTCTATGTACTCCTCTAGTGGCACATGAGGTCCAAGGCCGGATGAATGGGCAGCAACCGAATCATTGCCACCAAAGTAAACTATTACCAAAGAAGGTTGCACGGGCGAATCCTAAGACAAAAACGGAGTTTACAAAGTAAGTAATTTGGTAACAGTCAGCTAAATTTGAACCTGCAAATCGTAATGAATAACATCATAGTAAATAAAATGTATTAATTCTGGACAATGATTCTCAAGACTATCTAGAAATTTGATGCTGAAAGTACTCCAGAAAATTGTTCTCTGGCACATTTGAAGAGTAACATAAATCATACAACAACTGAGCCACTAAATGATAGCCAACCTGCCTATTCCAAGCACGGAAACATAGAGCCAGATTTGTTCTTGTTAGATGAACAATGAACAAAAGAAGGGGATATCACTAAGATAAGAATCATCAGATTAGAAGGGAGGACCTAAGCAAGCATGTTAGTCAGGAAGTACAACCACAGTCAGTACCAACTACCCCCAACCAAGTTAAATCATCCACTCCACTTGATCTGGTCCTAGGGACAAGAGAAAAATGCCCATACGTACCTTGGGAAAAATTTTGTCAATGACTTGAAGGGCGCGCCTTGAGTTCCAACCAATATACCCTCTGAGAAGGATATCAGCCTGAATGAGTTGAGCATTAGTGAAATGTATAGTATAGTATAGTAGGAGACCGATTAATACACACATTATGCTGAAAATGGCACAAGCAAAACAGAGGGTATTTGTGGGTGGGTCGACCTGGGAACAGGACACTGATTCAAGCCAAAATGAACATGATAGATGCAACTACTCATAGATGCTCGGAAAATCCTGGCCTACAATAAGTCAACGGACAAGGAAGCATTTTTATCTTGAAAGACGTATGAGTTGTTTAAGACCGCCAATGGCCATAGAAAGGAAGTTTCGCTGAGCCCTATGTTTTGAGGCACTTGTAACCCTAGGTTTAGCAGTTTGTTTAAAGAACATCTCCCTCCCACTCCCAAGCAAGGGCAGACTGAAATCAGTTGCCCCGGAGTATATACCTTTAGATATAGCATACTTCCTCGTTCCTATCAAACTAACTCGAAGCCTTACAAGAAAACAAGACAAAGCATCTCTTGTATTAAAAAAAAAGACTAGATTTACATTGGCCTAGGCATGAGGAATCAAGATGCGAGAAGAAAACGAATCTCCTATGGCAGATGGGTAGGAATTGAACAATCTAATATGAAAAATTTGGAGGACCAAAATAGTTAGTTGATGTGGCAGGGAGGGATGGGAGAGCAGAGAGAGACCTTGCGAGCGTAGATGTCTGCAAGGGCAGCGCCCCATCCGCCATTGCTGAAGCTGAACTGGACGATGGAGGAACCGAAGAGCACGAAGAGCGGCCGGCCTGGTGCCGGCGCAAAACCAAGCATCCTTCTTCCTATTCGAGATTGGATTGGAGAGTGGAGAGGGTGGTTCTTGATTTGTTCGATGGGAGCAGACAGAGAGCAGCAGCAGGTGGACCTCAACTGCACGCACGGCTGGATTAATGGAGAACAAGAGCTGTGCACAACAAAAAGAAAAAAAAAGTGGCTTGTGCGATCTGTTTATTTAACCGGAGCTGGAGTAGTATACTCCGCGATCAATTGAATCGACCACGGTCTGCAGTGTACCATGGCTAAAGAATTTAAGGAGCAGAAAATGGCAGATACAACAGTACTGGTAGTAGTAGTGGTATTCCTACAACTACAATAGCAGCACACAGACCTCGGCACGGCAGGATGCTGAAATTTCTAGGTGGATTGGAGTTATTGCAGCGACATTAATAGTTGGATCCGGATCCTTTGCAATCTGAGCACTGTTTCTACAGTTTCACTCTCACTCTAGGAAAACAAATGTTTTAAATAGCGGGCTAAGACATTTAGCGGTTAGCTTCTCAAACAGCTATAGCGGGAGCTATAGCGGGCTAAATTGTATATGAGAGCAAATAGCTAGAACCCTTCCCAAACAGCTATAGCGGGAGATAGCGGCAGCAATAGCGGGAGATTTAAAACCCTGTAAAACGTATTAGGCTTAACCCGCTGCATACCTTATACTCCCTCCGTCCCATAATATAAGGGATTTTGAGTTTTTGCTTGTATTGTTTGACCACTCGTCTTATTCAAAAAAATTTTAGAATTATTATTTATTTTTTTGTGATTTACTTTATTATCCAAAGTATTTTAAGCACAACTTTTCGTTTTTTATATTTGCACAAATTTTTTTGAATAAGACGAGTGGTCAAACAATCTAAACAAAAACTCAAAATCCCTTATATTATGGGACGGAGGGAGTACAGATTTGCTAAATATCATTCAACGGAAATTTAGACATTAAATTTTACAGATTTTAGATCGTTAGATCCGTGCCAAAATTCGTGCACTATATTCTTCAACTCCAACGAGCTTATCCTTTTCTCCTACCCTAACGTCTATAATGCCCTAACTCCAATAAAGGACATATGGATTAGGATTTAGGGTTAAGGTTGGGTAGCAGGGGAGGTTGGGGAAGAGGGAAAAGAGGGGTCTCCCAAGGACATAGAGGGATGATTGTGGGCGACGGAGGACCAACAATGGACGGTGGACATGGACGACCGACGAGGCATTGGCGGTGGTGTTAGAGCCACAAGGTCGGCAGTGGACAGCGCGTCGGTGTTGTTGGCGGGGGCTAACGATATGAGTGGTTAGGAGGTGACAACCTGTGATGACGATTCTAGTGGTGAGTTGGAGATGGGGAAGACGACGGGGAGTGGGAACCACACAATCACTAGCTTAAGGAGGAGGTGAGGGGGAAGGAGGCCGGTTGGAGGGGCCTCTGGCGCTATTCATGCCTTTGGCTAGCTGGTAGAGTGGTGAGGTGGCCGGGCTAGGAAATGGAGGGTGCTACAAAGTGGATCAATGCTGGTGCGAACTGTTGTTCAGATGGCGACGGGTTGATCTGGCATGAGGGAGGCACAACGCCGACACGAGATAGCGGCGGTGCAGCTGCGTCCTTCCAACAAGAGGTAGGTAGGGCACGTTGGAGGTGGCAATGAGATGGGGAGGTACTGATTTTGTGTTGCCTGTCGGGCCATCAACGCCGTCCTTAGGAATCCATATCTGCTAATGCTCACCTCCTTCCCTGTCGACACCATCTGGATCTGACCGTGGAGGTTCGGGCACTCTGTTGCCAACCACCTTCCACTAATGCAGCCCTAGCCACCGATGTCACCGTTGTGCTCATGAAGATTGCTGCTACCAGCTAAAGATAAGATCGGATTGCCTGCATATTTGGTGTCGAGACCATCAACACCACCAACATCTTGGAGGTCCCATGGGGGTGCGGCATCCATGATGGTTATGTCCTCATTGGATTGGCTTCAATGGATAGGGTGGCAATATCTGGATGAATGATTGTTTATAGCTCACTTACTCTCCGATATTATCATCCAAATTGGTTTGGCGTCAGTCGTCAATGAAGGTATGTGAGAAATTTGGTCAGCACAATGATCAACCATGGATTTATTTCCTTTTCAGCAAGAGTAAGCCGTTAGGAAGAAACAATTTTTGTGAAGATTCTCACAAATCATTGATGGAAATTGTCTTTTTTCAAGTAGTTTTATTGTCCTTAATCAAGCTGTGATTTGTAATTCGCGATCATTCGTCATGTAATCTCACAGCAATAATTGTTATAGCTACTTTACGGAATGGATTTTATTATTAAAAAATATAATACATGGGAATTGAAGTAAAGGATGGAATGAATTTTATTACAGCTTCTGTGATAGTTTTGATGGAGATTAGAAGTCATGGAACCATGATCCATGAGTGCATGACTATGACCCATCATCATTCAGTTGGATGTAGGCATGCTGCCTCATCTACTCGAGTTTGGCTAAGGACCACCAGTCAGCCTCCGTTTCTTCAACCACGCCAGTCGACCATCACGGCATCACTACTACGAGGCCATTGCCATTCAATTCCAAACATATGAGTAGTTGCAGCTGCAGATTTGCAGGCTTGAGTTCTCAAAAAAGAAGAAGAAGAAGAAGAAGATTTGCAGGCTTGCAGCTTGGCAATCACATTTAGGGTGTATTTAGTTCACACCAAAATTAGAAGTTTGGTTAAAATTGAAACAATGTGACGAAAACGTTGAAAGTTTATGTGTATACGAAAGTTTTGATGTGATGGAAAAGTTGGAAGTTTGAAGAAAAAGTTTGGAACTAAACTCAGCCTTACTACTACATCCATCCGAATAAATGCCCCCATGCAGAGCAAGCAGGTGGCAGTTGTTCTCTAGTGTTTGTATAGTGCTAGAGCAAGTTTAATTTATCTTTAAGTAATTATTATATTAGAGTATATGAAAGTAGAGGATAAATATATTGGAACTAGATAAAGTAGAGAACAGTTGCATTGCGATTTGATAAAAGAGATAGTATTTTTTTTGTTGGTATGTATAGGATGTGTGAAAAATAACTTAGCAGAAATTCATGTATCTCAAAGAGATAGTATGAAAATTCATGCATTTCATGAATTTGGGACGGAGGTTGTATGAAATATTTTGTAAAATTCATGTATTTCAAAGGAGGTTGGATGAAATAACTTCGAAGAAATGTACAATTACAAGAGACCAAGGAATAAAGCTATGATGTACAACTTTATAGAAAATTTCCTTGGTAGTATAGTTCATCTCATAGAAATTTTTTATAGAAAACGTTATATTACAATGGCTTTACTCCTAAGGCCTTAAAAAAATTTGTGTACATAATTTATGAACAGTGCTATATGTACTTTAAAAAGTTCATACAAATAAAGTTTTCAACCATTTAATTTAATTAGTAGGGATTTATATAAAATAAAGACCGAATGACAGGTGCTACATCAACCTTTGTAGAAACATTTATAGGAAAAGGTTTTGTGTATAACTTTTCCCAACATGTAAAATCATTCTAAAAGTTTTTCCTTCAACCTAATGAGGCCTAATCATTTTGTAGGTGAAGCCCAAGCCCAACGTGCGACGGGCCTGTTTGGGAGGCCTACGATCCAATCTCGGAGCATTCCCAGGCGACCGAGCCGGCGGCGACGGCGGCGGCGGCGGCGTCGGTGTCGTCTTGCCCCCAGACGCCCAACACCTCGACTGCTCCAGGGCGCTTCGTCCTCAACGACGGCGCCTTTGCACTTCTTCTCCACCTTCCTCCTCCAGGTCCGTCTTGTTTCTGCCTTTACTGGTCATCCTCTCAGATCAAGATTCGTCCTTAGCTAAGTATTGAAATTTCGCCTTAATTTGGTGTGCGATTATTTCCTCCTAAGATTAGATTAGATTGTGACATGACTTGTGCCTTCCACTCCTGTCATCCTCTTAGATTAGATTGATTTAGTATTTTCGTTCATAATTCGGGATAGTTTCCTCGATCTGTAAATATTTTAATTGATTTGTCTGCAATGTTGTGAAAATCTTGCTGAATGCATGGAATCTTCATGCAAAATACTAAGATATTGATGTGGCAACTTGCCATCCCTAGACCAACTAGTCGACTAGCCGGCCACCTTTGTGAACAATGGTTGGTAATACGATTTAACTGTCTTCTATTATTGGGGACAAATAAAATACCTTTCTTCTCTAGCTATGGGTTTCCCTGAACTTGAGTATCTAGTAGTCTACGCATCTTACACCACCAACACCGCTCTAGAGTGTTTCATGATATACAGCAATAAGCTCTACGGTTTCCGCTTTTGTATCACTTGACAGATGCTGCTTGGTAATGTTGGGGAAATCTGAAAGTAGGCTGCTGTGATTTGCATGAGACTGTCCTGATTTGCAGAAGCCCGGAATTGACAAGTAACTTTAGCACTGCTTTAGTGAGGTACAGAATTCATACCTCCCAGAATGGAGGTTGTTGATTCAGAAAATGGTAGTCAAAATACAGTAGAGTGTCAAGCTCAAATACTTGCACATTACTGCCTTTCTGGTACGAGGTTTGATAAGATCGTCCAGAAAATGTTGTTTCTCTGCATCCATAAACGCCAGCCAGGTCACTTCTGGAGGCTCATACTGGCCGTTGCCGACGTTTTATATAAAGAAGGTGTCCCATTTTAAGGAGTAAAAGGTACCAAACCTTACCGTGCCCAGTTAATTAGGGAAAACTGAGTGAAAATCAAACCTAAAACAACACATCAATAACTAACCTAACCTAAGCTACCACGATGGAGCCCAACATGAGGCATCAGCACCGAGCTTGCCATAGAGACGACACAGTAGCCCACACGTGTTATCGTTGCCAAGCTTGCCACCCAAGCGACGCAACAGCTCCGACTTCACTGCGATGTTACCCGAACGCCAAAATGAACAAACCGATTCGACACCAACGAAGGACATCAGCCCAAGCTACCAAGGAGCCACTTCTACACACACAGCTAGCACCAACAACCCTATATAGAGATTGCAGTGCGCCATTGTTCTACTCGGCAATAACCAAAAATGATGGTCACCTGCCGCAGAGCAAGACACAAAACCAACGACGAAGGCCTCGTCAAACTCTCTAGGCCTATAGAGCTTCGGAGCCGTTGCAGGAGTCCACCAATGGTCACCGTTGCACGCGGAAGGTTCTTGGTGCTAGGAGGGCTCAACGCCATAATAACGCCTCCAAGAAGCGGAACGGTACCTAATGGTGTCGTTGTCGTCAAGATGGCCCATGGCCTAGCAAGGCTTTCGCCAACGATTCCCAATCAAAGCCCCAAACAACCATCATGCACAATGAAACGACCGTCACTGGACCACCGCGCCAACCCTTCAACGTCCAAGCCCAATCCACCACCCCGCAGCTCAACCTGGCTCGCACCGCCATCCCCACGACCAAAACTGAAGCACTTGGGCCATAGAAGGGGATGAGCCCTGTGGAGAAGAGGATGCTTGGCCGGCAATAGAGAACAAACTCTCCACCTTCTAACCGCTTCCTTGCTTGCTGCCATAAGCCGCTGAGGTCACCACGGGCGGCCGACCACCACCGCTGCCGACCCATGTCGCCGTTCGCGGCCGCCCGGCTGACCATGCATGACCCTCGTCGGCCTCCTCGCGTAGGTCACTGCTGGCCTCCTTGCACCGTGGGCCACAGCCTCACGCCGCGTCAGTCGTGCCTCGCCAGCAATGGCCATGCATCGCTCCAGCTAGATCCATGTGCCGCCGGCCGCTGCCTTGCACACCACCGTCCGCCACCTCACACGCCGTCAGTTGCGTGGCCTCCAACACCTGCCGACGAGCCGTTGTTGTCGCCGGCTCTGACCAGATCTGGCAGGAGACACCAGATCCGGCCACGCGCCACCGGTCGCTAGAGCCCACTCCCAAAGTGCCACCGGCTCTCCCTCTTTGCCTCCCGGTGCTGCGGCGGCTGTCCCCGAGGCCATGGGATCAGGCCTCAGACCTCCGGGGGGAGAGGGAAGGCCCCGCTGCCGCTGTCCTTGCAGTTACATGGTTTTCCGGCGGCTTGCTCAGGCGGCGGTGAGGTGGAGAAGGGAGGAGGTGGTGGGTGGCAGCAGGGGAGGGAGACATCGCCCATGTCGCCCAATCCTAGAGCGACGCAGGGGCGCAAATGGATGGTCTCTCCTCTGTGCTCTTCTTCCCAGGTTAAATGTTCTTTTCCTGCTTTGTGCAGTATGAAAATCTGAACAGTTTTCCTCAAAAAGAAAAGGAGAAAATTTGAACATATTTTGGTATGACATCATATTACAGTATTTTTCTGTTGCAAGTGTTCATGTACCAGCTTGTTTCAGCGTGATTTTTCTTGTCAAATGCTAAACAATTATTTCTTGGATACTGACAGCATATCTCAATAATTCAGTTGCTGGGGAGTACCACATGCATCAGATGCCGTGTTGGCACATTGTAAGGTATATTCAATGCCTGTTCCTAACATTTACCAATTCATTAGTGACTACTTTGGTATTATGGCTAGTACGTGATTACTATTTGTGTTGGACATAATACTACAAGTTAGAAGATAATAGATATCCATCACTTGTTTCTTGGAAGGTTTTTCTAAGAAAATCTAGAAACTAGGGCTGCTTAATATAGGGGTCGTGTGGAGGCTCAAGCTGGGTCAAGCCTGGCCCGAGAGGCATGGCGAGGCTGGCCTGGTATTTTTTGGATTGAGCTGTCGGTGAACAGGTTTACAGTAACTTAAAGTACTAAGCTGGATCTAGTACTAAATAGACTATACAGGGGTGGGTCCAGCCAGAGAAGATAGGGAGTACTGGATAGGTGTTAGAAAGGAGGAGATAGCGGCGACATATTTCTAAAATTTGGTGACTGAGATACTTTAAGGCGGATTCATCTTTCTCTAATTCTCAACAAACATTCAATTCATGAGGCATGCCAACATATACATTTTCATTAATTGAAAAAGGGGGAACAAGTTGGTCATGGCAAGAGCTAATTACAACCTGAATGCCCTGTATGCACTATCTTTGGTAAACAAGCCCAAAAAAATCAAAAAGGAGAAAAAAATGTGTGGCAAGAGTCAAGTAGTAGCACATGGTAGAAATCACCGTTGATTCTTTCCGTACATCGGACCAAAGCCAATTACCCTTCTTGTAATAGGCTCCTCTCCGTGGGGGCAGTTTTGAATCCCATGTTGTTAACACTGCGGAAGATCTTTGGGTGGTGGAATCAGAGTCTCACTAGGTCTCTTTCCATTATCCACCACAAAGGCCATCTTGAGTCCCCATGATGTGTGCACCTCGAAATGACAATGCATAAACCAAACACCTGCAATATAACAGCTCAATCAATGTGTCTGGAAACAGAAGGGGTTATTTATCTTAAAAAAACATAGGTTTTAAAATCAATACCTGGGTTGTCTGACCTAAATCTGATTGCCGTCCAACCACCAGTAGGAACTCCAATGGTGTTCCTCTCGATGGGGTCGATGAGGTTGAATGTAGAAGGGGAGGTCCTGGGGTTGTAGTTCCCGACCCCTTTCCCAACCACAAAAAAATTAAAGCCATGTAAATGGATTGGGTGGCTTTCTGGTGATATGATTCCCGTATCCTGGAGTACAACCTGCACTGAAGCATTGTATGGCAGCCTGTAAACCCTGGTTCCATTCATGGTTTGAAGGTTTTTGGGACCACTTCCTGTATAGTTGAACTTGTGCAGTGGGGTTGCTGGGAAGTCTTCTGTGAACACTCCTGGAATGTTGTAATAGTGGGCTTGAAGAATTGGGGTTGATGGCATGATGAACGTCACGTTGTTGATTGTGCCCACCACCCTTGTCCCATTGATGCAGCTTGGACATGGATTGACACCTACGCCAACGGTAAGGAGAAGGGAGTGGTCTACTGTCTGTGGCACATTGGCTGGGTACTCCTTGGAATTGAGACTATGGAGTGAATCAGTAAATTTTGATACGATATGGGTGGCATTTTGTGGTGGTGGCTTGACGAGAGTGAGGGATGCCATGCTTGACGAGACTGTGTTGGCGTAGTGCAAAGTAGCGGTGCCTGTTTTGTTGTCAACCTGCACGGGCGCATCCATGAAGGGGGAGACTGAGAGAAGGTAACGGCCAGCGCCTTGGTTAGCTCTAACAAGGACGTTGGTGGTCTGGCCTGGAGTGATGAGCAGGGTATCGGTCTTAAATGGCTTGGTATAGACTGCATCAACCTCAACCACAGTTAATTCGTGCCCAGCAACCTTGAAAAATAGGTCATCATTCAGTGCAGCGTTGATGATCCGGAGCATGTATGTTTTGCCATTTTCGACGCTGAGCTTGAACCCATCTGTGCATTGTATTGCAAGCATACATCAGGAAATCGTTAGGTCTTTGGCTCAGTTGTAGGACTAGCACATAGTTAGCCATAACATGCACTGTCTGTCTCGTGTTCATGTAGAGTAAGAGTATTACCTTGTGAAGAAGCACACTCAGACAGCGGACCAGGATGACCATTGATGGTGTGTGAATCAGAAATATTGGGTCCCACTCCTAGCTGCATGGCCTGGTTAATTACAGTTTCTGTGTCCTCTTTCCACCATTCTCCTGCATGCAGCACTTGATAAATTAAGTGCTGGATGCATCAAGATGTAGAGAAGCAGCTATATATATGTGTGTGTATATATATACCTAACACGATAACAGCCTCCTTGTGAGGTGCAGGGAAGGGGTAGGGCACGCCAAGCTTTGGAAGGATGACGATAGCACCATGGACGGTAGCCCTTAGCCAATTGATGTGAGCATGCCAGAGGAGTGTGCCTCGTTGCCCTGTTATAGTGAAATTATAGAGAAAGCTGCTTCCTGGCTGTATTGGGCACTGTGTTATGTAAGCTGGCCCATCGTACCACCCTGTCCGGATCTGCCTTACCCCGTGCCTGATTAGTATGACATGCTTGTTTATCAAGTTATTCACCAAGTGTATTTTTGTTGCATAAATGGGAACAATAACTAGCACATTTCTGTTTTCTGTTCAACAGAGAGGATCTAATGCAAGCTATACATACTTTTTACCTTTTAACTAACACAGCATGATATTCTCCTTTTCTTTTTGGGTACTTACAGAGAGCAAAGGAGCCTTGAGGTGGTGATTCAAATTGTGGTGCAAATTACACGTGGAGTTGAAGCATATGCATGGAGTAGCCATGGGCTAGCTAGCTAAGCTGCTTACCAGTGGATGGTAACATTGTGAGCTACATGATTGACGACCTTGACTAGGACATTATCGCCTTCTCTTGCATACAGGGTTGGCCCCGGGAACTTGCCATTGACAGTGAGGATAGGCTTGGTTGAGCAAAGCCGTGTCATGTTCCGCATGACCACCTGCACAAGACACAGAAAAGACAGACAAAACCGTGGTAATAAACCATCTTGCCATTTCTGCTGCAACCTGTATATGTATGTGACAATTGCGATGCATGCTTGCAGTTATCATGCGGCAAAGTTTGATGACGATATATCCTCACATTGAACTTGTAATGCCGGGTGATGGCGTGGGCGCTGAGAGCCTGAAGCAGGAAGCAGGCGGCCATGAGGAGCAGGGAGAGCCGGCGTGACTCCGGCAGGACGGCCATGTTTGCTGCGTGACCAGCGGCAGGGGAAGGAGAACTAAGAGCTGGTGAGAGTGCAGTGCAGTGCATGGAAATACGGAGGTAACGAATGCTTATAATGGCGCACTGGCTAGATAGGAGGGAATGGGCGGTGTTGGGTTTTTAGCTGCCATGTCGTTTTAAAATTTAGGTGGGGAAGCCTTGCTTAACAAGGCTAGGAACCTTCTGATTCATTTACTTTCACGACCATTCGCCTAAATTTTACCAGCCCAATCCCAGCTGCTGCTGCTTCTGTACATGCCTGATAGTGCATTCCTTCAGTACCACATAAAGCTACCTACCCGATTACTCCACTATGCTGCCGCACCCAGTTTCTGGCTGTTCATACTTGGTGAAACCTTCACTTAATTAGCTATACATACACTCTTGTTTGATGCATACTCGTACAAATTAATATTCTTGCTGCGTTCATATATATATATGTCCGTCCTTTTCTATAGGTTGGCTGGCACTGGCAGGCTGATTCTAATAGAATTTGCAGAAATATATATGCACTTACAACCGACATCCATCTGGGGTTTGGTTCCGAGTGCTTGTCCTCGATCACTTAACAAAACAACCACTTGCCCAAGCGATCACTTAACAAAACAGCTACTTGCCCATGCAGTTGCCTTATATCAGTTTATCTATCAATAATCCGGCATGTTCCTCCCATCAGACTGAAGAGTACTCCATGTTCCGTCTACTAGTCATGTAGACATTCTCCATCGTGTCCCTGTCTGTCAGTCATATGTACAATTGCAGCAACCACACCTATAAAACGCTTGGCCTACACAATAGGAACTATAATGATGACAAGTTCCTAGTACAACTGTACAAGGGTCCACAAAATAGCATCTAAATTACATTTTCCCTTAAAGATAGTATCCTAGTCAAATATTTACATATAACGAATATGACAAATGAGCTAACCGATCCTAAATGGTTAGTGGCAATTGCAAAATCTTATACCAGTGCATGTCTATGCGTTGGCTTGCTCATAGCCCACAGTATAAATATGCGTCGGTTTATCATAAATATTTGGCTTTTATGACAACATTCGCTCAAACATTTAAAATTGCTTGCTCATAGCCCACAGTATAAATATCCGTCGGTTTATCATAAATATTTGGATTTTATGACAACATTCGCTCAAACATTTAAAATTTCAACCTAATAATTTCTCAAATGCTTAGTTTTGAAATATAAGAAACAGTGGTAGCTCAACATTCAGCTGAATATTAGATTTTATAAACTTATTCTACTACTATAAAATTGATGCTCAAAAAATTAAAAAGTTTGGTCGAATCTTATCCCAAATGCTAGATATTTATGACTTGAGAGAGTAAAATTAAAGACTCGATGGTATTTTCAGTTGCATGTTTTATTTACCCTTTTATTTAACACAAATCCTCAATAGGATCTACATAGTGTGATCTATCTAATTAACGGTCAGATCATTCTAATTAATATAGTAAACATAGATCTAGCTATTTCTTAGAGTGCTCACCTGTACAGTTTTGTTATTAGATGTTGGCGTTTGGAAGAGCTTGTGCACACGATTAATAGTGGGGACTTAATTGGAATGGGACTTTAGATAATATAATTAATTTTGACCTTTGCTTAAGAAAAAAGTTGTAACTAATTATTATAGAAGTTGCATGGCAAACGATTGCGAATTATAAAATTACAACTTAAGTAAAAATAAAAAACTACTTAGAGTACCATCTTAAAATAAAGATTATTTCCATATAGAGTGGTGAGAATATGCATAACCATTGTTTTTTCCCAATACCTTGCAAGTTATATTGTCTTCCGCAAATCGAAAACGGAATCACTGAAATCAACTGTAGATCATTTTGTCCATTGAATTTCTCACACATCATCACCGGTGACTAACGTCAAACCAAAATAGAAGATAACGTCGAAGGGTAATTGAGCAGTGAATCAATCATTCGCCAAGATCTTACCACCGTCATAGCCATTGAAGCTAATCCAACACAAAGGACACCCACCAGCAATAGAACCTCCAATGCGACGCCTCTAAAATGGTCATGCCATCTATGATATCATCATTGCTATTCCGTACAATTTGAACTAGGTTTTCACCTAGAGTCTTTCACCCAAAGAGTCTACCCCTAAACACGATGAGAGGAAGGGAGCGTCAGTGACATCGCCTCAAGGAATGTGTGGTGCTCACAGGCATCACCGGTGTGGGTGCTCCCAGCATTTAGGGCCTCAGTTGTATATGGTGTGGGTGCTCCCAGCATTTAGGGCCTCAGTTGTATATCCACGACGATCTAAACTTTGACCTCCTCAGCATTATTAATCATCTCATCCTTTTCAGTTTTTCTCCTCGTAGAAATGGGCAATACTTTAGTTAATTCAATCTATTGGACGATGTAATGAGTTGGGTACTTGGGTGTCTGGAGGGAGTTCAATCACGATGGTGTAAGTGGTGCGTGCGCTTCAGCCACCTGAATATTGATGGGACCTTTTTCATTTTTCTTGAACCATTTAGAGTAACAATTGGACCATATCACCATAAGCATTAGTTAGATGCGCTGATCAAAGTCCGTCAGATTCATCATGCATTGGATTAGATTAGATTAGATGGTATATTGCCATTGCAACCTTTCCCTTTGCATGTAGTTGAGGGGTGCCTGTCTAAGGTAGCTAAGGAGGAGAATAAGATCGATGTTGATGCAGCCAGCTTCGCACAAGCATATATTTGCAAGACAATTCGGATTGATTCAAAGCCAAGCTAGCTAAGCTAACCCATGTCCACCTAGCTTGGCTAAAATGGCTTCTACAATATGCACCAAGAAATTAAGCCAACACCACCCATCTCTATATCCATTTGCCTTTTATTACACATTCGCTAATCAGTGTTCAATGTGTTTTCTTAATAATAGATATTAAACCTGTCCTTAATTTGCTTCAACAAAATCTATAACCACTATAATGTAGAGGCCGAAATGACATCCAATATACTCCTTAGAAAATGTACTACTTCAGATGGCGGCGGTCCGCGCTAACACATGGACATCACATTGTGTGCTTCTTCAGCATTGGCATGTGGGTTTGCACGCAACTAATTCGTAGCATGCACACTTCGGAGAGACCCCATCAGGATGCACGCATGCCGATTTATCCTAGGCTCGACAGGCTAGTTAGGACATCATCCAATATTGCAGGGACTAGTGATGACAAAGAATAGTGGGTTGGAAAGGTAAAATACAATATAGGATAAAAGAAAAGGTAAAACTAGAATGATTCTTGATATATTCATTTTGGCTCAATTGAATTACCCATGATCTTTATAAAGGGGTTAATCTTGTGTAAACAAAACCTTTTCATATTATATTAGGTTTAGAGATGTATTAGAACTCGAGAAAATCCTAGACCTTAAGAAAAGGAATATGAAAAAGAACAAATTATACATAGACAGTTGGACTCATAGTCTGTTGATAAGACTATTGACATATAGGTCAATATTTGATCAGACCGACTATTCTAACACCTCCAATCAGCTTTTTGCGTGAAGGCTCTTATCCCTATCTAAATTTAGCCTAAATTGGGTCCAATACCAAATTTAACTGTCAACATCTTACATTGTTTTCATAGTGCATAACATAGATAGATGACCTTGTTAGGTAAACTATAGTGGCAGTACCGCTTGGTACGACTTGTTTGGGACATGTGTAGGCGACATTGTTCATGCATACATACATACATACATGTGTAAAGGATTTTGCATACTTATAAAAGATTTCTTTTTTGGCTTCAATTTTTTTAGAACGGCCCCAAATAGGGCCCGCTAGGTCTAATTGTTTGGTAGCAACTAAGACTCAAACACACAATAGAGGAACGAATCTGAATAAGTTGCAGGCGCTATTGTGACTTGCAACTTAGGCAGTAGCAGTTCTCATCAAGGGATGCAAATCGGATTGTCCAGACAAACGAGTTGCATTGTTCTTTGTTCCATAGCAAAAACACTGTAGCATGGAACATTGATCATACTGTTACTGTAGCGCTAGATATGAACCGTTAATCATGGAAATGGATGGCTGAAATTATATGCAGTCCTTAAGTTGCAATTACAATTGTAAGTTTGTACCTGCAAACGATCTCAATCCTAGAAGAACATACAGTTTTGTGGATGGTCCATGAAACACCAACTGCTAGCCAAGGTGATGCAACATAAATTTTCCACACTTCCAAAGGGAGTGTTTTAGAGGAGAGGATTGGAGAAGAAACTTAAAACGAGCTGAACCATTAGTGTACGATTAATTGAGTATTAATTATTTCAAACTTGAAAATGGATTAATATGATTTTTTAAAGCAACTTTCATATATATGGAAAGGGGAACAAGGAGAAAAGGAGAAGAGGAGAAAGCGGCAGCGACAAGAAGGAGGCGGGGTAGAAGAGGAGTCTACCGACGACCAGATTTGGGAGCACCGTTGTTGGAGTCGCCGCAGATCCAAACCGATTTGCACTATAGCCGAGTTTGTCGTGTGAGGTCTCCGCCGCTCCGTTCACCTAGGGCTTGCTCGCTACCACCGAGGTCTTCGCGTCTATTGCGAGGCGCCTTGTCCAGGTTGTTAGCCGCACACTTTCACTTTGTCTTCGGGGTCGCTGACATGAGGTGCCGGCTGGTGGTGGAGGGAGAGTGGTGCCTGAGGCGTCAGCCGACGGTGGAGGGAGGGAGAGTGGCGCCGGCCGGTGGTGAGGGCTAGCAGCGAGGGAGAGGGGAATGGAGTGAATGAGATGGGAAGGGGTAACTTTATTTTTGTTACTGTTTTTGAGGTGTTTGGTGTAAATATTGTAGTTCCCTACAAATTATCAAAACATAAGGACTAAAATAGAAAATGATAAGAGCTGACATGCAAAATCAAAGACACAGCTTGAGCTACTTTGCATTGTGGGAGAGGGGGTGTGGTCTCAGTCTATGTGGCACATTCTCTCATCTAGAGACATGGTGTGTCCCGCATTGTGAATGGCCTTAGTATCATTGTTGTTGGTAGGTGCTGATAAAAGTATGAGCAACAAGAATTGTGCAGTAGCATTTCTCCTTGTCAGACGATCGGAGCCATCCATACTGACATACTCCAATTGTCGGTTCATCACCGTCACTTTGTGCAACCCACTGTTTGTTTAACAATGACTTGTTAACATTGTTGAGTCATGGGGGAAAAATGTGAGAAGCATATATCAGGTATCATGTGAGAGGCATTTAGGGCGTGTTTGGTTGCTGCCCTCGCCTGAGCGCTATCACTCAGGCAGGTCGATCTAGCCGCAGGTGACCGAAATCGAACGCCTGAGATCGACGCCTGAGTCAGGCGTGATTCCCAGGGTGGCATCCAAACACGCCCTTAATTTCGTGCACAAGTGTGTGTATACAAGCGGGAGATACCTAGTATATAATGTGACATTACCTAGTTTATGAATCTAGATATGAGCATGTCAGAATCATAGTAACACTAGCAATATTTTAGGTTAGGACGGAGGTAATTAATACTAGTACTTTTCTTTTCCTTGTAGATGCTTGCTTTCAGATTTTGTTCAATTGATAATTGGAGGCACCATTGCCTGGCTATGGGCAATTACCAATTTACTGGTAATGCAAGCATATGTACACTATACGATACGAGTACGACGAGTGGCTAAATGATGAAGCTCAACGGTACGTACGGTAGACAGCAACGCACATTAATTAGGTTAATGTACTACTACATCCATTCTAAAAATATAGCTATCTAGTATATAATGTGATATTATCTAGTACTATAAATATAGACATAGATAATGTCATATTCTATATTAGATAGCTATATTTTAGTATATTTTAGGACAGAGAAAGTACTAGCTAGTATATTCATCCAAAATCCTACCTACAGTATTTATTGGGTTATTCTCTGTCCAGTGTATAAGTAGAAGTGATATGGATGGATAGGGTGATGAAGGAGAGGAATCGAAGTTGGGCATGCGTGCGTGGAGATCCATGATGCAGTGCACCCCCGTAGTTTGTTAGTAATAATTAATTATGATGGCAAGTGCATGGCATGGAAGGGGCCGGTCCATTGATAATTCGACATGATCCAGCTAATAATCTGCATGCTACACCCACACATATGACATGATATGATGCATCAATTTCACCTACTAGTGCTAAAACCACACACAGCTCGATCGATAGATGAGATCAAAGGGGTAAGATGGGTTGTACTAACTAGTAGTAATATACGTAAGTGAGCGAGCGAGTATACGTTGGAAATCAAAAGTTGTAAAAAGTAAAAGCAAAGCTAACACTGCAATCCAAAACAAAGAAGAAAGAAAAAAAAATGGTGGTACAGTTATAGGAATGCGGAGCTAAGCTAGCTAAACAAGCATGGGGTCCAGTGAAGTCCAAGGAGGCAGAGGGTGGGGAAAGAAGAGAAGGATTCAGAGAAGGGAAAAAAGCAAAAGAGAAAGGGAAAAAGGGAAAAGAAGAAGCAGCAGCAGCTCAAGACTCAACTCAAGTAGAAGAAGAAGAATAGGGAGAGAGAGAGACCATCGATCGATCTGTCTCTTTTGCCTGCTCTGCTCCTCTTGTTTTCTTTTGCCTTGTTTGCCTCCTCTGCAACGAACGCAGACCTAGCAGCATGCATATTCAGTCAAGAGTTTAATTGCAAGAAGAAGAAGAAGAAGAAGAAATCTACTACTAGTCCAGTTGCAGTTGCAGAGGCATATTGTGGTTGGATAATGGAGACGGTGTCGGTGTGCGGGCTCCACCCGGGCGTGGCGGTGACGGGGTTCTGCCCGGCCTGCCTCCGCGACCGCCTCGCCGGCCTCCACCCGCCATCCGACCTCCGCCGCTGCAAGTCCTTCTCCTACTACGCCCGCTCCTCATCCTACTTGGAGCCGCACCCGCAGCAGGATGCTCTAGTCCTGCCCGATGCTGCTGATGCTCCAACCAACACCAAGCTCGCCTTGGGCTCCCTGGGCAAGCGCTGGCAGGAATGGCGTCGCAAGTCCAAGCTCAAGCACCACCACCCGCCCCCCGCCACCGCCACCGACCCCGCGCTGCTGGCCCGCCGCTCCTGCGACGCTTTCTCCACCCGCACCATGCTGGACGAGCCCCGCGCGTCCTACCATCCCACGCTCTTCGTTCCACGCTCCGACGACCAGATCCCCGTGGAGGAGGAGGAGCGAGCTTACGTGCCCGGCGGCTCCGCCCAGACAAGGGACTACTACCTCGACTCCTCCAGCTCCAGCAGGAGGCGCCGGAGCGTCGACCGCAAGTCCTCCTCCGACGCCGGCGACCAAATCCCCAGGATGGTGGCCGCGGCTGCCAATGCCAGGGTTTCACCGGCCACAGAGCTGTACCACCAGCCCCACACGTTCCACTATCACCAGCCAAGCTTCGAGCCGCCGCCATTATTGGCCCGGGAACGACAAGAGGCAAAGAGCAAGCCTAAGAACAAGGGGATCAAGGGGTGGAGCATCTGGGGCCTCCTGCACAAGAAGAGCAGCACCACCAACAGTGTGGGTGCCACTGCCAGTGCGTTCGCCGGCGAGGCACGGGCGGCGCCACCGGAGCTCCGGGCAAGGGGTTACGACGGCCAGATGCTCCGGTGCAACAGCAGCGTCAGCGCAAGAAGCTCATTCAGTGGAATTGGAAGCTCATTCAATGGCGGCAGGTTGGGGATGAGGAGGGCAGATGAAGTTTTGCTTGAGAGGAATTTCAGCGCCAGGTACTCTTCGTCTTCCTCCTGCAGGTATCAGTTTCACAAGGATGATTACTCCAACTCCATTGCCAACAATTCTGGAGCTGGAGCTGGAAGCAGGCCTCCTCGTTCCTCCACCTTGCCGAGGACCTCACTTGGACTCTACTACTACTGAACTCAATTTTATTATTATTACCCTTAGCCGCCCTAAATCTCATCAATCAAAAATTATTAGTGTGCATAGCATAGCAGCTTATATATACTTGTTGCAGTTTTACAACTCAACTGGTGATTGCCTCCACCACGTACGGGTGCATTATACCTTACTTAATTTACACTAGTACACCCTTTTGTTTATTAATCTCCTCCAACCACGACATATGCATGTTTCTTCTTTCATCCATTCAGTCCCAGACTCAAGCCTGTCTCATAATCTCATATGCTTCAAATCAGCCATGTGTTGGATTGAAAAGAAAAACGCTTTTCCCTTCATCAGTTTGTAAGGCTCCTTTTCTTTCATATACTGATATACAACTATGCAATGAAGCTCATGGTTTAGTGCCATTTTTCATGATTTGTGCAGTGAAGACTGAAGAGGCAACAGAAGAAACATAATTCATGGCTTCCAGGAAATATAAATACTCTCTATATTTCACGGTATAAAAGCTATTGCTCACGCTTTTCAAATTATTTTATGGTTTTCCGGAAAATTTGCTTGATCCCTCAGACCTCAGTTCAGTGCAAGTGAACGGTGTTCATTCACCGCAAAGCAAAATAAGCAGTGAATGCCAGTAAACCAACATTTTACGATGTAGACAACAGAGAACCAACCAGGCCATATTCCAATCGGAAAAGAAAAAAAAAGTCTCAACCGAGCTCAATTCTGCAGCTCATCTTTCATCATTTTCCACAAATTGAGAGGTTCTCCACAAAAAAAAGGCACTACACCAATTCTGTCAGGGGTCATGCAAAGGCCCGCTAAGATTTATTACTCAACAGCGTTCTCACAATTGAGCATTCAAGTTTCTTCCTTGTTCCCCAATTCTCAGGGAGGATGTTAACCGTTGCTTCTTGTGTAAGAGAAGATTAAGAAAAAAAAAATGTACGCATCCTCTTTTTCCACGATGGCAAAAACCATGTGTTATAATCTTCAACTACCAGGTTTCCTCACAAACAGCTTCTGGACCTGTTCAAGTAAAAACAAGGGGGAAAACAATGATATTAATAATGCGTACATCCCTGCACTTTTATCCAACAATATAGATTCAGATATCAGCTTTACCTGCTCCAGTGTCAAGAACATTATCACATTCCATGATCCCAGTCTAGCAAAGTTTGGGAGGAAGCCTTTGTAAAATGCCAGAGGTCCCTGCAGACAAAAACCCTCTATTAGCTACATGCTCAAAATGCATACAACAGTTGGCTGAAACGTAAACTGCGTTTTCCAGCTGCTAAGTCATTACAATTATAAGATTTGCACAGCACAGTTCAAAATGTGTGTTTGCACTTTGCAACACTGAAAGCTATACTGTGCACAAAGATGTCATTTACTCGAGCTGAATTGTGACAGGGTACATAAGACGATCATTCTCCTTGCTCGCACAGTTCAAAATGTGTGTTTGCACTTTGCAACACTGAAAGCTATACTGTGCACAAAGATGTCATTTACTCGAGCTGAATTGTGACAGGGTACATAAGACGATCATTCTCCTTGCTCGCACAGTTCAAAATGTGTGTTTGCACTTTGCAACACTGAAAGCTATACTGTGCACAAAGATGTCATTTACTCGAGCTGAATTGTGACAGGGTACATAAGACGATCATTCTCCTTGCTCAGCCAGTAACATAACAGTAACGGAGAAATATTTCCTGGACAATCACTCTCCTTGCTCTTCTACTCCTCCCCCCCCTGTACCCCTTCTTCCTGTATCTTCCCCCATTCTCTCCTCTGATCCCCCCATAAATCCATATTTACTGTATCCCAACAACAAAATACTTGTGCTATCTGTAATATGGCAGAGAAGGTTTGCAACGGAACAGGGTGCATCTCTAGATTAAGCCTCACATGCAAAATTGTCAAGATCAATGGTAAAGGTGCTAGGAAGGAAATAAAAGACGATTCCAGCAATTCCTGCCGCTGGTTGGCTGCCCATGAAGATGGGCACTTACACAAGAAGTCCATGTCGCTACCAAGATGCACTTTAACATGATTGAACGAGATAACTTGTGCTGACCTGCCTTATAGAAATTCGGCCTAAGAACGTCCTGGTAGAAAAACTAGCTAAAACCACTAGGTAGCTGTCACTGTCATAGTGATAACCATAAAGAAGTCAGATTCCAACAAACAAGCTGGATCTGTAACCAGCGAATCATCTAAGTGTTCGTGTTCATTGCATTCTATTCTATGCGCTCAGCCAATATGAAATCAGGGTATGTTCATTGCATTCTATTCTATGCTTTCAGCCAATATGAAATCAGGGTAGCATATTCTATTGTATGAGACCTGGTAAACATCTACAAATATGTAAGAATGATAACACAAGATCTATTTACTAGTAACTCAAACAGGGTAAGGGAGTAGAGCATACATCATTCTTCAGCGTCTTCACGAAACAATCAATAGTACTTGTGTAGGCCGAGTCACCCATCATTCTTGACTTGACCTGTGAGAATGTGTTTCTTATCAGTCCAGGTACTAATATAGTAATATTCAGTTACCAAGAAATATACAGTAGTATACAATACATCCTTGATAATAACCACAAGAAATTAGGAATCTCCATTGCCGTACAAAGAATGCAACAGAATCTCCATACATGTGTAACAAGAGTCATATATGTCAACAAACAAGGGAACAGGCATGTGAGGAGCTCAGACACGCTATGTGTTAACAATGAAAGGCATAAATCGCGGAAGCATGCAATTCCCAAAGCCCGGACTATGAAAATAGCTAATGAGGCAATACTGTGGATTACACATCCTAAATATGTGAGGTGTACACTATACTAAATTTTCCTAGTTGGGACTTGGAATAGTGTGCCACACTGTTATATTCCACGATTTACAATAGAAACTTTGTTAGCAATATTCCTGATGATAGGGGCATTGACAGGGTACCAAAGAAGACTAATATCACCAATGTTTCATCAGGAGCAGATATACATAAGAAACTATTAAAGGAAAAGTATGTTTACAGTTAGTTGTGTAATAGAAAATTGCTAAAAATTCACAAACTGCAGTAGGGAGGCGACGAGGCGTACACAAGAAAATGGTTACTGAGCATAAAGGTCATCTCACCACATCCACTGGAGAACCAACACAGACAGCGAAGAAGCCCGCGCCCAGACCAGATAAGAGGTGAGTGACCACATCATCTTTGAACCCAGGAAGCTTCAAAATAGTCTGCAAGGCGAGGATAACAGTGTCATCTTTCCTGTGACGCGTGCGAACTGTGAAATTGATGGTACAGTCACTGCGAGAAACAAGGACGGAACCTGCTTGACTTGATCATAGCTGGCCAACTCGGCAGCATTGATGATGGCATTGCGCGCAACATTGGGTCCAATGCCAGTCCACAAAGCAGCAAACCCTTCCTGAGGATAATATAATAAAGATGTGAAGCAAGCAATGATGTGTTGGTATGGAACAGGCAAGCGCATGCGAAGAAAGAAGCAGAAGGTCAACCTGCCTAACAATCTTGGCATAGGCATCCATGGCCCCAGCATATCGGCGCGGGGCGCCGGGCGCCAGCTTGCCCTCCGCCTGAAGCCTAACCTTGACAAGGTCAGTGGGGTTGGCGATACTGATCGCAATGGCACCTGAGATGAGAAGAAGCAGCATATAACGGAGTGAGTACTAGTTGGGAATGGGAAGCAAAGCAGAGTTGGTAGAGTACCAGTGGTGAAGCCGGCAGCGATCTTCTTGGTGAGAGGCACATCCCCGACATGGTCTTTGCCAACGTAGAAGGATTTCACCTGCGTTGCGATTGCGAAGCGTGGGGTTGAATAATAGCGACAGGATGAAAAGGAAATGAGGGGAAGGAGGGGGGAGTACGGTACGGACGGGCTCGTAGAGGCCGATGCGGAGGCCGCCGTAGATGCACTGGCGGTGGAGTCCCGGGACGATGCCCTTCCAGAGAGCGGCGGCGCCTTCCTCGCGCGCGATGGTGGCGGCGGTGCCGAGGAGGCCGCGGTACTTGGGGGCGGCATCGGCGGCCACGTTCTTCTGCAGCTGAAGCCTCACCTTGGCCGTATCCAGGGGGATCGTGCACACCTGCGGATCGGAACCAAATCATCGATCCGTCAGCTGGTTCCTTCTCGATCTACCTATAATAATGCTCTCTCTAGGAGGAGGAGAGGAGAAATCGGAGAAATCGAAGGGGATTGATTGGATACCTCAGCGAAGCATGCAGCGATGGCGCTTGCGGTGAAGCGGCCGGCGAAGGAGATGTCGGGCTTCGACCCGTGCTCCGGCATACCGGCGGCGGCGTTTGCGTTTGCGCCTGCGCTTGCGCTTGCTAGTGGGAAACCACGATTCGCGGACCCAACTCAACAACTCCCTACACCCTTATTTATTGGTTTTTTTGCTTTTGGTCGGTGTTTTGATTTTTCTGCACATACAAAAATGAGCAGGTTAATTATCTTCTGCTAGTTTGGACATCTTTTTTTGCTTTGTTCCATGACTCGGATGCACATCACTAGACTAGTGGTAATGCAAATGACTCGGATTCGACTCATATACCTTCCCTCTACTAGTGTATATATAACATGTTAGCCTGATTTTCATTTCGTAAGGGATACGATGCTCTAGTCTTGATGTACAATAGGAATATCAATTAGGAATACGATGCGATACCTAACTACTATTAATATCAAATGCCTAACTAGTAGCAACAAGTAAGTAGTACCAAATGGGTATGCCTAACTAGAACCAAATGATGGGTGCTCGCATCTTTTATTAGAGTAAATTTCGCTATATTTTAATAAAATTTAATACAGATTATTGTAAAACTACAAATATATTAGCCATAAATTTATCACAAAATTACATGTTTAATACCAATTTAATCACAAAGCCTAAATAATTATAACCCCATAATATGTAATCAGTGATAACTTTATTATTAAATCTATAATTTTGTGATACTTAAGTTTTAAACCTCATTTCTTAATAAACTTAGTGTTAAATCTTGAATCTATAATTTTCCAATAATAATTTGATAAAAGTATTTCTTTTGTCAAATTTACTATTTCCCCCCTTAGTTTTGGTGCCGAGCCTCCGCTACGCTTGGGCCGTTGGGCCTATACATGGAGACGGGCCCATATGCCTGGATGAGGCCCAACACACAAGGCCTGACCAGGCCTGGCCGTCATCTTCTTCTTCTCCGATCTCCTCCTCCTCCTCCTGCGTGGCTGCGTCTCGCCTGGGACAAGAAGAAGAAGAAGAAGAAGAATCGGAGGAAGAAGGGGGCAAGCTAGGATGCTGCGGAAGGGAGAGGCGCCGGGGCACCAAACCCCACCCCACCTGCACAAGGACGACGGCGACGACGACGACGACGCACCGTCCGGCTTCGTCAAGCTCATCAGCGCCGAGGGCTTCGAGTTCGTCGTCGACAAGAAGGCCGCCATGGTCTCCAACACGCTCCGCAACATGCTCACCTCCCCCGGTTCGTCTCCTTCCCCATCTATCGATCCGATTCGCTTTGCTTTCTCAAACCCTAGATTGCCTTGAATTATCCACCAAATCCAAATCCAACACAGGCGGCTTCTCCGAGACGCGCGAGGGCGAGGTTAGGTTCCCCGAGATCAGCACCCCCATCCTCGAGAAGATCTGCCAGTACTTCTACTGGTCGCTCCACTACTCCAGGTAAATCTTTCCACCTTTTCCACATGACATCCTCATTCAGTCCTCACACCACCCCTAATCCCATACTAGTCCTAACTCTTATGCAGTTGGATCTAGTTTGGATTAATCCTACCCTTCCAATGTCTATGGGCAGTACTATGCCAACAAAACCTTGTTTATGCTTGATACTCATTAATATCCATGGTTAGAGGCAGACAAGTCAACACAATAAATGATCGGATTGGTTACCATTCATGCAGCGAACAATTATACACATTCACCTATTGAATTTGATTTACTGTATACACGAGATTTATTGGACTGAATTTCGAGGATGTTGAAAGATTAAGTCTGCATTTCATCCACTTTTATTTCTCCAGTTTCAAGTATAAGTTTATTGATTCAATATATTTGATATTGTTTGAATTTCACCTAATCTATGTTCCACTACATTTAATTTATGATACTAATTTTTTTTCAACATCTATAGGTTCAAATGTTGATAAATTTCATGCTATTCTTTCCCTTAACTAATGTTTATACTTGATATAAGGGAATAAAAGTAAATGATCAAATTATATCCTTTTGAAAAGTATGATCCCCCGGAATTCTATAATGGGATGCTAATTTAGCATCTAATTACTTCCTTGTAGGTATGCTGTCAAAAGTTTTTATTGCCCCTCAGTGCTAAGTGATGACAACCTCCTATGCGGCTAATAGTCATATTAGCCATTGGATTATGTAGGATAAATGTTGTAAAATAACTTGGGAGCACCTTCAAAAAAAATCCATCCAGTTATCTTGTTTTTCAACTGCTCGAATCCTGCCTTCCTCTAAGACCCATCGGACTATGCATTAAGATATCCTGCTTTGAAAAGGGAAGCATAAACCTTTAGCATCAGCAGCTGCATCAATACTTTAGTCCCTTCAAAATTTATAATGATACATCTCATTTCAAAATCTAGAACTAAGCCTTGGTAGAGATAGTTGCCTGTGATATTTTGGACCAGGAACCTTCAACTACTATAAGATATATAAGCATATTGCACTCTCATGTTTGGTTGTTTGGAATTTATGAAACATGCAAATGTTACTTCAGAATACAATAAATAACTTACATACAGTACATTATTTTTAGCCTGTGTACAGTGTATAAGGTTATCAAACATTTTAAAATTGTGGAAGGCATTATACACCTTTCAAATAATGGTGCACCAAAAGGTTGTTGTCTTCTTTAGGTAGTTTTATGGTTTCATGGTAGGGATTTAGCTTTGGTGTATCTCTCAATCCCTGCACTACCCAATTTGTCAACTGGTTTTGTGATCGACTTTGTGGTTCATGTATTTTGTGGAGGCCTTTGTGATCCAAAACTATTAAAACTTGGGGCAGTTTCCTTAACTCATATATGCTTCTGAAATAACTCAAATAGCACATATGCATATCAAGTAGAATGCGATCTTGAGTGTTTTCTAGCTTATACTCTCCAGTCCAGATTTTAGATTTATGTTTTGGCATTGCCAAATTTTGGTGGAGATGGAGGTGTCTTGTAGGTTTCGATCTGAGTGTTTGGTATGCTACCAAAATGAGTCTTACATTTTTTTTTTGTAGGGTAGAACAGAGAACCTAACCAGTCGTTTATTACTCTGATTCTGTCATATTTCTCTATCGATAGTCTAGATGTGTCTTGTATATTTTACTCAGGGTAACAAATGTTGTTTTAATATTTTACTTCATTCAAATTTAAGGCGCTCATGTTTAACGTCAACTGAAGTGACTCGGTTGTTGTTTTGTTTGGTTGGTTGATAGTGGGAAGGAGACATCTGAGTTTCAAATTGAACCGGAGATAACTCTGGAGCTGATGATGGCTGCAAACTATCTGGACACCTGATGAGATGAGGTGGAAGTGTTTTAGCAGGTTTTTTTTGTTGTTGATAAGGAAGCAATCCCTTGGTGTGCATCCCCATTTGAGTGATGTAAACATTAGAGGATTGTAACTGTTGTGTTGTGTTGTAATATGATTATGTGGGTGCTTATGGAGGTATCCCTGAGACTTTGGATGGCAAAGGCCTTTTGTGTGCACAAACGGGTTTGTTACATTACAGGAATGGACATTCAAGTTGGGGGCCGGCTTGGTATGTTTTTTTTTTCTATGGTTGGGCGAGATGGTGGAGGCGGCAGCGTGCAGTGGCAGAGGAGATTAGAGTAATACGGAGAGAGCGTGGGGACTAATACAGACTGTTGAAATGTGAGGGGCAGATTTTTATTTATATTCCTAGCAAGCAAAGCTGATAATAAAGCGATTAGTTGATATGAGAAAGAGATAGTATAGCGTAGCAGCAACTATAATATACTATATAATAATAATAATAATAATAATAATAATAATAATAATAATAATAATAATAATAATAATAATAATAATAATAATAATAATAATAATAATAATGGGTAAAACATGGATCGAGATTTGGATGGACCTACAGTATATATCACCTATGGGCCATGTGCGAGCATCAGTGTTCAGATCGCACAGAGTACACTTGATAGACTTTTAAAAAGAAAATATACAGACACGGGGGCACTGGCTGGCAGGGGGGAGTATTGTCTTGTGTTCATTTGATTGTATATTGTACTAGTGCTACTACTACGTGGAGAGCAGAGCACTAGCAGAGTGTGAGAAAGATAAACAAGGAAGGCAGATGTGGACGGAGGGAGGGAGGGAGGGAGAGGGGCAAGTGTGATTGATGCACAAACAAACAGCTCAAGTTGAGGCCAGGTGGACGTGCAGCCACGCAAGACAAGACAAGCAAAGCAAAGCACGAGAGGAGCGAGGGCGAGGAGGACACGACGCACCGCACGGATCATTCATTCATTCTCTCCTCCTCCGTTCCTGACTCCACCACTCACATTCATTCCCTTCTCTCTCCTCCCTCCCTCCCCCGCCCCTCTGCTCCCCTCGCCGGCGAGCCCAATGGCGGCGTCCGCCCTCGACTCCGCCTGGGAGGTACGCTACCCCCCAAGTCCCCAACCCAACCCAACCCTTTCTTCTACTTTTCGATTTGCTCTTCTCATCATAGATTAGATTATATACGATATGATACATGGATAGATAGATCTCTCATCTCATCCTGTCAACAATGCGCGCAGGGCCTCACCGGCAGCTTCACCGAGTTCCAGCTCGCCACCGTCGTCACCTTCCTCCTCCACGAGACCGTCTTCTTCCTCTCCGGCCTCCCCTCCCTCCTCTTCGAGCGCTTCGGCCTCTTCGCCAAGTACAAGATCCAGGTCCCCTTCCCTTTTTTCTCCCATCCATTCTTTCCTATCTCGTCTCCTACTACACCCCACCCCAACATAGCATCTCCAGTACCTACGGTTTTTTTTTTCTTTTTGCACAATTATTATTATTATTATTATTATGGAGGACCTACCAACCAGATCAAACCCACTGGAATTGTCTCTTTTTTTTTTTTTTACAAAATCACCCCCAACCAACATGGAAAGGTGGATCACGGAACCAAAAATAATTTATGATTTCTTTTCCAGTTGTATGAGTGTCTTAATTCCACTTCAGGGAGCCTTCTGGTTTCTGCTATGCCAACGCCACGCTGATCAATATGCCTCGCAACAAGTCAAACTCACTGTGCGCAGAAAACGAAATTAAGTATCACCTTTGTGTGTGTGTGTGTGTGTGTGTCTTAGCATCTCCAAAAAAAAAGTCAAAAGGCCCCTTGAACGCTTCAGTGACTATGGGATGGGATGGTTTTAACTGTTGCTTAATTTCACTCTAGTTCCAAACTACCAAAAACCTCGTATGTGAAATGCTTCGGCAATAAATGTTTTGAGGATTAAGCTCTACAGCTTTGTCAGGATAAACAGATGACTTTGTTTGCACTGATCAGAGTGGAATACTACTTTTCTGAAATATTTTTTTTAATAAACGAACATAGTGAAATATTTGAAATGCAGTATTGAATCTATCTGGCAAAACTAGATCTTTGTTGTGTTCCTTATGCGTATTCCCCCAAAAAAAGATCTATGTTGTGTAGGCTAGGTACCATATTATTACTTGAACTATCACCCATCATTTATAGGAAACTCTTCTTGCACTTTTAAGTACCATATAAATGCCCTACCTACTAGGCTACTACAAATCTTGAAAATTCTCATTCACAGGGAAAGTAATTACCGAGAACATTGTCGATAAATATCCTTGCTCGAAGATATATGCTGTTGACTTGTATACTCTGCACCTTAGTTTTATATATTCTCTGAACAAGAAGTCAAAAATTGTGAAAACAAGTTGCTTCCAGATACCACCAAGTCATCAAGAAATACTCAACCTCCGCGTGCATGTTTCAAGGCAGATCTGTTCGCTGTCGCTAAATGCTTCTAGGTTGTACTTTGTTTCACCACAAATCAGTTTTAAAGTAAAGCATGCTTGTGATTGCTCTTGTTCCCAGTTTACGGTGCTCGACTTACAAGTCATATCAGTACGATTTGAGCTGTTGGTGCCATGCCACTTTGTTGATCCCAAAATCAAATTAAGAACAATATGAGAAGTCTCTCCTGTCCATTTATGGTTCTCCTGATGAAACTAACATGCATTGCCTTTTTTTTAATTAAAAAAAAAGAGAGTATGCTCTTGTTCTGTCCCTACTTTCTATTTCACTCATTGCTCCCCTCTGTGCCTTTTCTTTTTGGGGGCCTTCTGTGACAACAGTTAAACTGTTGAACACTGTGAAACTCAGCAGAGATTTATACTTGCTTGCTGCCATATCTGGTCTCATAAAAAAAAATTGTGTGGATCTTTGCAGAAGAAGAGCAATACCCCTTCTTACCAGAATAGATGTGTGCTGCGTCTCATTCTGTACCATGTCTGTGTGAACTTGCCTGTAATGGTTTTATCCTACCCTGCCTTCAAATTCATGGGCCTGAGGAGCTCTCTTCCTCTGCCACACTGGTATTCAAGTTTCAATCTTTAAACCAGGGTAGCACTTCATTTATTGCAATGTTTAACATTCCACCTATGTTGATGCAGGACGGTTATTGTTTCTCAAGTTCTTTTTTACTTTGTACTCGAGGATTTTATATTTTATTGGGGACATAGGGCACTGCACACCAAATGGCTATACAAGCATGTTCACAGCGTTCACCATGAGTACGTAATGCTACATCTTGGCCTCATACTTTTACATTTTGTTATTGTTCCAGTTCTTTTAAATAACAATTTCCTGGGCAGATATGCTACACCCTTTGGCTTGACTTCAGAATATGCCCACCCTGCTGAAATTTTGTTCCTTGGGTTCGCCACAATTGTTGGTCCGGCCCTCACTGGTCCGCACTTGTTCACTCTATGGCTGTGGATGGTGTTGAGGGTATTGGAGACAGTTGAAGCTCACAGTGGATACCATTTCCCATGGAGCCCATCAAATTTCTTGCCACTGTATGGAGGGTAAGTAATCTAGATATTGTAAGTGTGATATAAAATGGTATGGGGACTCTATTGGTGTCCTGAATGCCGTCTTTTCCTATGACCAGCTCCGACTTTCATGACTATCATCACCGTGTGCTCTACACCAAATCAGGAAACTACGCCTCTACTTTTGTTTACATGGACTGGTGAGAAATCATTGACTTTGCTATGTGTAATCATGCATGTTTACCTGACTCTTTACATGAGGAGCCTTCCTGTTTGTGATAGGCTGTTTGGCACGGACAAGGATTACCGCAATGCCAAGGCTATCGAGGAGAAAGACGGGAAGCATTTGTAAATTGTGGGGGCTACTCTCTTTCTCTTTGTCCAAATCATCGAAACAAGGGTTTGACATCTCGCAGTGGTGATAGCATTGTGTTCATGGGAGGAAATAGGTGTCCTAGCCACAGGTATCTATCTCCTGAGATGATCCTACAGTTTAGATTTTCTTTCCCCAAATTCACTATACTATCATCATGAGACCTTTGTGTTTCTGGAGGCCACCATGATGTAATTTGTCATAAGCTTAATTTGATGCGTGCTATTTTGTGGTTTGCTTGGACGGGGGTACATGCCATGACAGAAGTGAACTATTCGAATCAGAAAGTTGTCAGATTAGTGAGTTAACGTTGAGATGAGGTTTACTGGTTAAAGTGCTGCGTGTTACTTTGGTGCTTTTGTTGGTTTTATCATCTTTTTCTCGTTCTTATCGATCTCGAAGTCGAAGTTTGTTTGTTTGTTTGTTTGTTTGTTTATATTTTATAACTGCTGGCTTTATGTATACTGCGTAGCCTGATGAAGGGTTAATTAATAGCAGTCAAGTTTACGTGTCAATTGGACACAGTGTTAGCATTACCCTGGCGCGTCGATCAGACCAAGGAATTGGGCGCTGTGACCGGCTTACGGCCATGCCATGCCTCTATCCGAACCGAACAACTCCCGCCTCGGCCAGCAATGGGTGTGTTTGGTTGGGCTGTGGCTTTTAAAAAAGCAGCTGTCGACTGTGATTTTTTTGAAAAGTAGCTTTGAAAAAGTAGCTGTGAGGATTTTTTTGAAAATTAGCTTTGAAAATGAGCATGCTGGCGGCTGACGACGACGACTTCGCACGCGCGACCTGCTAGCTCGGCTGGAGGAGGAGTGGCGGTGGCGGCTCGGCGAGGAGGTAGAGGCAGACGCGGGCGGCGGCGGAGGCAGTCGCGGGCGGCGGTGGAGGCAGTCGCGGGCGGCAAGGCTGAGGCCACTGCGCACGCGTGCTCGCCATTGCTGGAGCTCCACCATGGCCACCTCCCATGCCCGCCGATGACGACCGAACAACGACGACTTCGCACGTGTGGGCAGCTCGGCTGGAGAAGCGGCGGCGGCGGGGGACGGTGTCCGTGCAGCACGTGGCGAAGGCGTCGTCAGACAAGCTCATGCGGAAGTTCACCGACCCGGACGCGCACGCCAAGCAGATCACGCCGCCGCGCCGTAGCCTTGCGCTGCGGCGGAAGCAGTCGTCCAGCAGGGTGGCATTGGGGCTCCGCGAGGGATTTGGAGCTGGGAGCGGAGCTCGTGGCGCCTAAGCGGAGGCGGAGCATCGGCGGGTCCACCTAGTGGAAGGCCGGGCTGCTGCTGCCGATGACCACGGCCTCTGCCCGCAAGGGAGATCCGCCGCGAGCACCTCCCATGCCCGCCAACGACGACCGAACGACGACGACTTTGCACGCGCGGGTAGCTTGGCTGGAGAAGCAGCGGCGGCGGCGACGGGGCGAGGAGGAGAGGCGGCGGCGGCGAGGAGGGGCGGCGGCGACGGCAACGGGGAGGAGGAGCGCCGGCGGTGGCGTGGTCTGTTTGGTGACGGCGAAGTGAGGAGGACGAGGAGCGACGCGATTGGAGAAAAAGAACGAACCGTTTTTTGGTAATGGCAGAGCTGGGTAATTTTTTTTTTCCCAAAAGCAGGTGAAAGCGGGGGTAGAGGTGCTTTTGATTTGTAGTAGACCAAAAACTGGCTTTGGGCAAAAGTAGCTGTAGCATTTGGGCTCTTTGGTTAGCTTTTGCAAAAGTAAAAGCTGATTGAAAAGCCCAACCAAACACACCCTCAATTGCTCTGAGCCAAGCCCGGCTGCCGCCACCCTTCACGCTCACTCTGAGCCTTGCCACCACTAGGAATAGGTAGGGGTGCAAACGGGCTAGCGCCTCCCTCCATATTAAAATATACTTCTTTTGTCGTATAATATAGCAACTTAGTACCATATTAAAATATACTTCTTTCGTCGTATAATATAGCAACTTAGTACCAGATGGAGTATTTTTAAAGCACAATAAATCTGTCCAGATTCATTGTACTATGAAATGCCCCTATGAAATGCCCCCTTTAGTTTTAGGTTGCTTTATTAAGTAGTTACTTCTACTTACTAGCAGGGTATAAAAAATATGCGGCTATCACGGTTATCACGTATAGTAACCTTCTCCATTTTTTTCGTGTTAATCGCAAGGTTGTTATGGTAACCGTACGGTTACTACGTTAACAGTTGAAACCGTGGGATGAAGGTAATCTCACCCAAAACGGTTTGAGAACCCTGCATACTAGTAGTGGAGTAGTGCAGTGGTGGTGCAAGATGAAATGTCCACCCGTCTGCCCGATGCGTGAGATGCTGTATGTGGAGGCAGGCAGCTGCTTTGATCCAGAGCAAAGCACATGAGAACAATCTTAATTTTAGTGTGCAGCAGCTTTCAGTCAGAGTACTGAGAACATGAGACAAGAGCACAAGAATCTTTGCCTGCCTGCCTGTGCCTGCCCAGCCAGCACTAATACCCAACCAACAGTGACCCCTCCTTCCCTGTGCTGTGCACATTGCACAGAGAAAATTAAAGATCCTACTACTATCTCACAGATCATTGATCATATACTGTAGTATCTATCAGGAGGGCCAGTTAACAGTTGCGCTGCCACTGCCAGCCAACCCTTTCATCTCATCTATCTATATATTCGAAATGCATGCATGTGTATCTACAGTTGCAGCTAGCCTTTGGCCCTCCCTGGACAAATTAACCTTTTGTTTTTGTGAATTTAACCTGTCCTTTTCGTTTTCTTGATCAGTGCTGCCATGCTGCCTGCAAGCATGGAGCAAAACAGATTTACAGTGCAATACTGTGATGAGTCGCTATTATACAGTCAGATCAGATCGATGACAGACTATGCCAATTTATGAAATACCAACTTATATTATCTGTGACAATGAAAGCAAATAATGTGCACTGCCATTAAGTACAACCGAAGAAATCCAACAATGTGAATCAACCGATCACTAGAGATTATCTAGCTATGCTCAGTAAATTAAAGAAATAAGATATCGGAACGCGGATGTGGAAAAGCGGTGAGAAAACAAGACAAAATGAATCAGGCTAAGCAAGCAACAAGACAAACGCATCTCACAAGCATCAACTTTTTATGGCTCTAGCGACTACTCGCTAGTAGTCGACTAAATAGTGGAGTTAAGTATAATCAGGTGGAGGCCAGAGTGTAGGACAGTGAGAAGAAAACATACCAGCTGCTAGCTAGATGTCATGCTAATTAACACACTACCAAATCGATCTACAATTCTGATTCCGTGTGGTTCTGATCTTGTCCATCTCAAGAACGCCACTTCTTGCTTTAATTTAACTATTTAGGTGCCTTGTTCAAATGAAGAACTCATGTCGCGATGTGTAATCGATTTGGCGTCCCTTCCTGCAGCCAACAATATATAGTGCTGCTACCTGCTAGCTAGCATCTGGGGCATGACTTGCTAGATATCTAGACGGATTAAATGTGTAAATGTTCAGATTGATAGATAGGAGTAGTAGTGTAGATTGAGAGGTCAACTGCAACATGAAAAATAATTAGCTAAATTAATCCACGCAGGCTAGCTAGCTACTCCCTCCATCCCATTTTAAGTGCAACTATAAGTTTCCGTGCCCAACTTTGATCGTTCGTCTTATTTAATTTTTTTTATAATTAGTATTTTTATTGCTATGAGATGATAAAACATGAATAGTACTTTATATGTGACTTATGTTTTTAAATTTTTTAAAAAAATTTTCAAATAAGACGGATAGTCAAAAAGTCGTGCATGGAAAATCATATCTGCACTTAAAAATAGAACAGAGGGAGTAGCTTGAACCATCACTCAAATTAATTAAAGGCAGATTTACCCCTCGAGTAATTAAACTCCAACAAGACTCATAGAAACATTCATACAAAAACATTTATATGTATTACATGAACTTAGGGTTTATTAAGTACTAACTTTCTCTTATTCATATTATAAAATGTTTTAAGTTTTAAATAGTTTCATGTATGGACCCATGTATGTGTTTTATATTTGTTTAAATTCATATGGATATTAGTAAATCTAAACGATGGATGAAAAGGCCAAAACATCCTGTTGTCGTTTGGGTATTTAACTGAGAAAAAAAATTTCACGAATAATTTTGAACTTCTCTCACCGAATAGCTGACGTGCACCTAAATCCATTGGTATTGTATAGAGAACTCTTTTAAGTCCTCGAGAGATGTCCCTTCAATATTTGTTCAAAAATACCATCCAAAAAAGTTATTAATTTTTCTTAAAAAAATGACAACGTTCATACAATATACATATATACCACTCTGAAAAATTTAACTCTAAACTCAACTTACATTGAGAAACACACACAAAAAAGACGACAAATCTAACGTATAAACAGTACCGACACTGTGTGTAGATTGAATTTGAACTTTGGTGGAAACAGATGTCACACTATACTCTACAATTGTCAAATTTTATCAAAATTTTTCATAACCATTTATATTAGAGAAAACGATACACACAAAACATTCTCTCAAGTGATTAAAATCCTCTTTTTGGCGACATGTACCTCTCATTAGCTCATCGATGATGCTGTATAATCGGGTGGGAGCACCTCGGATGCCTTTGCCTATTGAACTGTCAACAACATCTAGCTATCAGTGTTTATTCTCTTTCAGTGGACTCTTCTTCGAACTGAATTATTACCTGAAAAGATTTTAGAAGAAAAACTATTACCGGCATTTCAATGAAAACATGTACATATATGCATATGCAAGAGAATCAATTTAGAATTCCAGATTCGATGGAGACACACTACCACCTCGATAGATTAGGATGACTAGCTAGCTAGCTAGGATTGCCTTGAATGAATTGCAGAGACACATCAATGACCAGTTAGTTAAGATCGACCAACAAATATATAATTTAAAAACATGATTTTGCCGGACAACGCATTCTCCAATTATATATATGCTCCTGGATTTTACATTTTGTCCAATAAAAAAACATCTTAATTACACCACTGGTGTGAGAGAAATTAATTTGCTTCCCTCTATACATATATAATAGCAAATTAAATAATGAATTAAGCTACATATTTTTTCCTCTGAAATTAATAAACCCAAGAAGGAAACGAATGAATAAATTAAAGAGGAGCTAGCAGGCCACATGTGCACAGTGCAGTAACCAATATATACCTAAAGAACAAAACCTGATCGAGGAGAAGACATGTCATCCAATCATACACTGTACGCGCACACACACATGAGACATATATACACCGATCTGATCTGATCCAATCCTTGCTTAATTCTTCTCCGGCTGGCCGGCCTCTCCTATAGCTTAGCTTAGCTTGCGAGACTTCGTTCCACTAGTCTTCTCCTAATTTCTTCCTCCTGCAAATATGCGTAGTCTTCTGTCATCGTCGACCGTCAAGTGTGTCTCTCGCTGCACACGGAGATGCATGCACCTCTTGATTGATTGCTCGGTCGACTGATTGCTTCTTACACACCGCAACTCGCTCTAATTAGTTGGTTTAGCCTGTTTAGATTTGTAGTATTAGAATCGTCACATTCAATATGTACTAGATTTATTTATTTTGAGACGAGCTAGAGCCGCTTGATTATTGTCGATCGGTACTAGCTAGTGCTACTTAGTAAGCCGGCTAGTGGAGTACTCAATCTCTGCTACTACTCGGCTAGCAGCTGGCTGCTGCTGCAGCAGTAGAACATCAAGAGAGGAGGTTAATTAGCTAGTACGTAGTACCTTGGCTGCTTTAATGAACTCGATCGATCCACAGCTAGCTAGCATAGCAGAGCAGCAGTAATGGAGGAGCAAAGAGGCGAGGAGGAGTGGGTGATGTGGGGATCGGCAGGGAGAAGACGAATCATCAGGCAATCGGCGTCGTGGGAGGAGCAGGCGTTCGCGCGCGATGCGGCGGCCAACGCCAACCTCGGCGGCTGCGTGTGGCCGCCGCGCTTCTACACGTGCAGCTTCTGCCAGCGCGAGTTCCGGTCGGCGCAGGCGCTCGGCGGCCACATGAACGTGCACCGCCGCGACCGGGCTCGTCTCCGACAGAGGCAGACCTCCTCCTCCTCCTCCCCCAGCCACCAAGAAGAAGAAGCTGAAGCACCCCAAGATCAGCAAGCTGGCCCTTACTATACCTCTTTCTCTAAACCTAGCACCACCTCCACCGATAATACTACTTGCAGTAACGACATACTACTGCTAGCAAGAGATCAAGAAACCATCAAGAAGAGGGTACCGAGACAGCAAGTACAAGTAGTTGCAGATCAGGACGAGGACGAACCGGCCGGGAGAAGGTACAAGAGGAGGAGGCTTGGTTTGGTGGATCAGCTGCCGTCGTCATGTGAAGGAGGAGATCATCATCATCAGGTACTGATCATCACACCAACAACAGCCGCCGCAAGCCCTAGCTCTATAATTGCTTCTGCTTCTGCCCTTGTGGTTGGGGATCAGCAGCATCAACAAGCAGGATCAGTACTAGATCTAGAGCTTAGGCTTGGGACTAGTACTCCTCCTAAAGCTGTTGTGCACGCTTAATTAATCTGCATGAAATTGATTGACAAGTACCCCAGTGTGGATCACTCTAGTCTCTCCGTATATATATATATAGGTCTTGTTAGCTGGCTTCTTCATTTAATTTCTCAGTTTTTCTTCCCCTTGTGACTTCTCTTGGATCAATTCGTTTCTTAATTAGTTTGCAAGGCCCAGCATGCTTACATCTCTCTCTCCCTCCTTCCAAATGCGTGCAGTGCATATAAATATATGTATGCCAGTGTTGTAGAAGAATTAAGCTTGATATTAGTGTATTGATTACATTCTCTTCTGAAGAATTGTATCCAGTCGATTCGATCATATCGGTATTAGGATTTTGTATTGTATTGTATGTGTTTGTATACAACTTCTATGGTCAAATTTGATCGATCTCTTTTTACCATGCATTTTAATTTCTTCCTAGTATTATTTATACTGTTCCCGTTCCCTCCATATATACTTAAAAGCTGATCTGCAGTTCTGAACCTTAGCTCAATGTGTCGATTACTATCAGTTCAGGCTAGACTAGAAATTTTACATGATTAATTAGGAGTATCAATTACCTAGATTCAAGCAATATGATTGATCATATCCAGCCCTATTCCTACACCGTGAAAGTTGAAATTCTAAATTAGATCCTTAAAATAATTATATATATATATAAAGGTTATAGGACAATCAGTTATGTCCAACTGTGTGCATCTTTATTAATCTTACATATTAGTATAGCTTAACAAAGACTAGCTAGAAGCTGATCGACAGTACGTATAGCTAGTTAGCTAGCTAGTGAGGACGACGAACTGACGAAGTGATCATATCTGTTCTTTGTCTTTTGCGTGCACTTCCGATCCTAATTAAAAGCGCGCATCCATGCATCGTTCAAAGTTGGGGCACTGCATATTGCAGATGACATTCTGATTCCTCTTGTATATAGAGTATATTATACGGATTAAGATTTTTTTTTTGAAAAGAAGGCAAAAGTTTTGCCTCGTGTGTATACTGATAGAGCAGGGGCAAAAGATAGGTACATGGCTTCTAAATAGGTAGGAACCCACAAAAAGAGAGTCTTAGGTAATTTTTCCCGAAACAGCGAACCCCCTAAGGTAGACAACCCCCACTTTTGCCTATGCAGCTGCCACTCTTTTATTTTGGCGATGATTGTGACATGTGGGGTGGCGACATGTTGAAAGATACTGACATTGCACTCGCACCAAATTTCCCGAGCGATGAAGGTCAGAAGAGGCTTGAGCATCTTCACCGGGTTATGAGGTGTATGCGGGAGGTGGTATACCACTCCTCCACTGAGGCATAGTCATCCCAAGATTGTTAGTTCAAATTCAAGCCTGTCCACCACTGAATCACTACCCAGATTCGGCAGGAGAGTCTATAACGTGCAAAGAGGTGCAATGCCATTTCCTGTGTGGTGTAGTAGAGGGGCATATTTGCTGATTTGTCCAACTTTTTTTAGCCTGTTTGCTGTCCAGACTCTGCTTTGTATGACCAGCCATGTGAAGAACTTGCACTTCGGCGATGCCCATCATTTCCATATTGTCTCATTGAAAGTTGACCTTGCCGCCCCCAGGAATAGGAGCTGGTAAGCTGATTTTGCCTTGTATTCCCTATTTGTGGTGAGTTTCCAGACGATGTTGTCGCGTTGTTGCCCTAGCTAGCAGGAGAGCATTGCATATCAAGGTCCAAAGCTCGACGTATCAGCAAAGATGCTCTCTCGTCGTGATATGGTACAACTGGATGTCTCTCTGACCCACTTGTTGGAGAGGAGGGCCTCACAGACAGATCTATTCTTGCTTATGGAGGCTGTGTAGATTGCCGGCGCAATCAATGCGAGTGCTCTAGAAGCCTGTTGTCTTCCCATCGCCTATGGTTATGGTGGTCGCTACGCTACCGCGAACAGCTCTCTGTCCAAATGATCACCTAACACTAGGGTGCCAGCCCAAGGTCTTATTCGAACCACAGATATCAATCTGAGGGCTCCTAGCCCTCCTAGCTCATTCGGCTTGCATACTTTTTCCCAATTAACTTTGCATTTTTCTCCCAAGATATCATCCCCTCCTGCCCACAGGAATTAATTTGCGTCTTGTTTTGTCTATAGCGTTCAGGATCCCCTTCAAAAGCTTCAGGACCGTCATGTGGTAGATGGGTTATGCAAAGAGGACTGACTTTATAAGAGCCGTTCTTCCAGCCACCATCATCATCTTTCCTTGCCATACCACATTAAGATTATACATATGTACATATTTTCATACGAAAAATATACACATTTTAGTTAGAAATTCTGTAATCAACAAATGATTTTCTTGTGTGTGTGTGTGTCTTTGCTTGCCTGCATGGCTGCAGAGAGAGAGAGAGAGAGAACTGAGGAGAGGGGGCAACTGTAAGGTAGGAACAACAACAAACTGGCCTTGCATGCTGGCATTGCTCTTAATTTGGGCATTTGGCTCTAGCTACAGAGGATGATCGATGAATTCCAAAAGTTCAGAGGATGCATGCGTTTGCATATGGTGTTTCTCTCGATTTGCATAGTAATATACGGCCAGCAGTACGTACTAGCTAGGATAGATGTGTACTACTTATATATATATGATATATATATGTCCCATTAGTAATCCACACATGGTTTGCATTTGCTGGATCGATGGGTGCTGTCCTCCATTGGAATAATTCAAATCAAGACGCCCTGCTAGGGCCTCCTGCTGCCTCAATGCATGGATTATTCGATCTCCCATGAACTGGCACTGCATGCATGCCCTACAGCTAGCTAGCTAGCTCCAAGACTCCTGACTGCTGCTAATTTATTGGCCTGCACATTGCTACTCCGGCCGTATTTAGTTGTTTTAGCAAAAAATAAAAACTTTTGACGTATACGGACACGCATTTGAAGTATTAAATGTAGACTAATAACAAAATAAATTACATATTTCGCCTATAAACTGTGAGACGAATATATTAAGCCTAGTTAATCCATCATTAGCAAATGTTTACTGTAGCACCACCATGTTCATGGTGTAATTAGGCTCAAAAGATTCGTCTCGCAATTTACATGTAAACTGTGCAATTGGTTTTTTATCCACATTTAAGGCTCCATGCATGTGTCCAAACATTTGATGTGACGGAAAAATTGGAGGTTTGAAGAAAACTAAACACAGCCTCCCTCCATACCATTATAAGTGTAGCCATAAGTTTTCGTGTCCAACGTTAACGTTTGACCGTCCGTCTTATTTGAAAAATTTATAAAAAAATTTGAGAAGTTAAGTCACACATAAAGTACTATTCATATTTTATCATCTAATAAAAATAAAAATACTAATCATAAAAATATTTCAAATATGACATATGGTCAAAGTTGGGCACTAAAATCCACAATTACGCTTATTATGGGACGGAGGGAGTACTACATAACACCACATAGAGACTGGCATCATAGGTACCGGCTCACTTAAAACCAGTACCTATGAGACATTTTCTATCCCCCTTCCCTCCCAAGTGGCGCCTCAAATAAAACTGCCACCTATAACACCTTATTATTACCGGTTAATTTATTAAAACATGGCACCTATATGTGAGTCATCAGTACCAATTCTCTAAAAACCGATGCTAGAAGCTGAGTCATCCGTACTGGTTTTCTTAAAAAAACCGACACTTATGGATAAGCCGAGTCAACTGGATGAGCGCGTAGAGGATGCCATTGACGAAAATATCTACGAACCTCTCTTTTACTATTCGATTGGCTCCTCTCCAACTCATGTTCTCCCTCCCCCTCTCTTGCCACCTCTGCTTCCTGTGGACTTGCCGCTCAAGCCGCCTCTGCTTCCGCCTCCTCTTTGCTGCTCTCCCCTACTCAAACGACAAGGATTAATTGGAATCGAAGACATCAACCCTTTTTGGCCAACACAGCCATCTATCCCCTCTCCATCGGATCCCGCCAATGCCACCAACGAGCTTTCTCCACCAGATCTGCACCAATGCCACCAACGTGCTTCTCCACCGAATCCCCGTTGTGCCCTTCCACATCCGCCAATGACTCTTCTCTCTGTTTGGCGGATCTAGTTGCGGCTCGAGCCTATAAGGCCCACACTGGCGTGGGGAAAGGTGCGGTCGGCGGTTAGCTTCGATCAGTCGCCTCGCCTCCTCCTTGGGAGCTCACTACCTTCCAGATCCTGCCACCACAAGGTTGGCATCGGCTAGATTCGGCCACCACCGTCTCAGTGGTGGCAAGATCCATCTATGGTAGGGTGGGGTAGGGGGAGGGGGCCACAATGGCAGCAAATCGACGCATTGGCGAGAAAAGGCGATCGACGACGCACTTTACCACGGCAAGTGGCGGTGGATGTGTTCATTGTTGTCCTTCCATATTTGTGTTCTTGGATGCTAACATGTGCATGTTTGATTCTATAATTTTGTTCTTTGATGTTCTTAGAAACCTTTCAATTCAAGATTATGTGAAAGCTATCCTTTGATCTTCTTCACTTGCACAAATCTTGAAACAAATCTAGCGGTTCAAAATTATGTGAAAGTTACATACAAGTTATATTGTACTTACATGCAAGTTACAGTGTAATTACGCATGCAATTAAGTTATAGTGTAATTATACTATGATTATATTGTAATTACATATGTTAAATTTTTAGGAGAAAATTTATCAACAAATATTTTGTAGATAATGAAATAAAATTACATCGTGGCCTTTGTTCAAAAGAGTTACAGCCAATTATTATAATCTAGCACTATGTAAGAAAATTGCAAATGAAATTATGCATGGGCACGCGACAAAAGTAAAGGAGCTGCAAGCTTCCATGGATTGATGGATATGGGCCCTTGGCCGGCTTTTTTGTGGATCGTCGGATCGCATCCATCGGGAGGTGGAGCAGTAGCCACGTATATACACATACATACGCGCCACAAAATATATGCAACGACGATAGTTATTAATCGGATGGATTATTTCCTGAGCGTGTTTAGTGTGTGTGGTTTATGAGGCACCTCCAATCTCATCCACACCAACGACGTGCGTACGGACAGCTTAATTGGTTCATCCATCCGATCCATCCCAATCGGCCGCATGTAGCTGGCAAGCTAGCAGCCAATCATACCAGACTTTGCATCTAGCCTGTAGGAGAAAAACCGTCAGGAAAATTGGTTTTACCGTCAGAAAAAATATTCCTGTAGGTGCCCCGTCAGAAATTGCCGACAGAAAAATTACCATGGAAAAATTCAATTGTTCTGTCGGTTTCCCGACAGAATAATAATTTCTGACGGCCTTTTCCTGTGGGTGGAACACAGAAAAAAACTGAGACGCCGGGTTTGAGAGAACATAGTTCTGACGAGTGCACCGTCAGAAAAATTGGCTTTCCAAGGAAAAAAAAAAAGAAGAGAGAATGCTATGCACATGCACTTCAGATTAATACACAAGTAAATTGATTTGGATATTGCACTCATGATTAGATCCATACATAATTATTTACATCAATCAAATATTCATAGTACAATTGTGCACAGATACATCAACTTCAGTGAGATATACATATCAAAGTTTCAACTTTGTGTCAATCCTGTTTACAAACACTAAGAAAATAGCCACCCAGTGGTAAAGGAACTGCAAGTCTCCATCTATGTTACAATTTATAAAGATACACTTATAAAGATTCATATTTTATCTTTCAAGATAAAATTATCCACCAAACATTGTACGAAAATTCTGATTGATCAACACCTTTCAATCAGCTGCAAGCAAAAAGGCAACAGGTGTTGAATGATGTGCAACAAAAATAATAACTTGCAAGATATGCACTAAGATGTGGCACTTAATCTGTACCTAAGACTTCGTTGAAATTTGGCGTTCTTCTGTAGTTTTGGAATGGACTCTGCAAGATGGACAAATTGAATATGCAAATCAGCTATACAAAGAATCAGTTTAGGTCATGCACATTTGTTAGTTATATTTAGCAACACATTCAAGCAGATCACTTTACTGTAACTGATGAAGCTTTGTCTCATGACATTTAAATATAAAACAGGGAAGTTTTTTTAGTAGCAAGGGACTCTAATGTGGGAGTACCTGTTGTGGTGCCACTGTATTAGGTCTTCACAAAATGGCTTGAGAGAGGAAAATTAGATGGTCCTGATATAAGTTGAAACAAGAAACAAATTATTTAGATGTAAAATGGACATTATACACTAGACTAATCCAAGAAAATTAAGTTTCTATTATGGACTAAGTTACATAATGTAGACTAATATGGGAATCAACTTTTCTTGCTTAATATCCGGGAATCAGGGCTGTCTCAGGGCTTTGAAAAAAAAAGAGTAAGGTGAATAAAATATCATTCTACTTATACTTTTAATTGATTAACTAATTCAAAAAAGGGCACCTAAAGTCATCAGAACATCTCTGTATTTCGTAATTGGCACCTAAAGGTAAAGTAATTGGCAACAATATTAGTAGACAGATGATTTGCTACCCGAAGCAAAATAATATATTGCAAGTCAATTATCGGTCTTGAAGTCTAATTGTCTAGACTATCCAGATCAAGACAAATATCCAGATCAACTATACGGTGATCATTTACTCCAAATCAAGACAAATATCCAGATCTACTCTTGGTAATCACATACTACAAATCCTTGCAAAATAATCCGGAGAGCAAACCTACCAGCTGTTAGACGAGGAGGCTTGCTGGGGACAAACTGCCGCAGATCCACTCACCTCGAGGCTAGACCTGGCGCCGCCGGAGATGGGAGCCACCGGATCTGGAACACCCAGCCTCGGGATGGCTGGATCCGTGACCATTGAGAATGGGGCATATGGATCTGAAGACCCTGAACTTGGGTTGGCTGGCACCGCCGGGGAAGAGATGGCTCATCGATGGCACAAGGCGGCGGCGTGGTCTCCATTCGTCAAAGCACCGGCGCCGGCGCTGGATCTACTCGCGAGTGGCGATGGGGACTGCAGAAGGAGGAGAGGGGTGGCGGCGGCGGCTCGAGGGATTGGGACGTGAGGGATGAAAAACTAGGTTTTCTTGTGTGGGCTGCTGGACTTCTATACGATGGATTTAGGCCCACCTGTCAGTGGTAATTTTCTATGAGTCCTAGCACAACCGACAGAACTATAGCGATGTTCTGTGGGTTGGCTGCAAAACGCACAGAAAATATCACGGCCCACAGGATAGCTCTAAAGTCTGGTAGTGAATATAGTATAGCTACTTGGGCTTACAGAATTTGTGTCTAAGGGTGTGTTTAGTTCCAAAGTTTTTTTTCAAACTTCCAACTTTCCATCACATCAAACCTTTCATTTACACACGACTTTTCAGTCACATCGTCTCCAATTTCAACCAAATTCTAAACTTTGGTTGGAAGTAAACACAGCCTAATTGGTGATCAATTTAACTAGTACTCGTAATAAATCAATGCAGGGAATATGCAGGCACGGTCTGGAAGAGTCGGGCACACACTCGATCGCTTGGACACTAGCAAAGCTGCAATCGTTCGCCTTGCATTGCCAGTAGCTATAAATCTCGCTCCATCAGCAAGCCAGCTCTCATCAACCGGGTGTCCCTGATCGAGCTGAGCTGAGCTGAGCCAGCTTAATTGCACAATTTAATTTCTTCTTGCACCTAGCTCATTCGTCGATCACTCACTCAGTTAGTACCTAGCTAGCAAGCAAGATCGGTAACGCAGCTAGCTAGTTAGTACAACTGCAAGAAGCTAATTAAAATACTATCTTGTGCATACATACATACATACATACCCACCAGCTGATCGATGGCAGCGACATCGACGACGATGGCTTCTGCTTTCTCCTCCACTGTCGGAGCCCCGGTACGTACGCTAGCTCGTCTCCTGCTGTTAGCTAGCTAGCCTCTAATAATATTCCTACACGACAAGGTTAATTTCCTACGTATGCACAGTAGTATTTGTCAAAATCGGCCGATATAAATTAGTACTCGTAGGAGACTGGCAAATGAAAACGAGGCTGGCAAATGGATGAGAGATACCTGTTGCTGCTATATAATTCTGTAGGAGTCTGAATATTTTGCAATTAAGCAAGTTATATAATTCTCCCGCCAATTTTACCATTTATTTTGTCGCGCCAACTTTACAATTTAAAAATTTGTATTTGTTGAGAAAATAACAATTTTGTTAAATTCATATAATAAAGTTTTAGGTATTGTCAGAAAGATAGAAAAGCATATCATGATTTGAAGCAAGCAACAAGAAATTTAAAGATAGAAAGGAAAAACTAGAGGAGACCCGTTAACGTTGCAATGAGAGATCTGTAGTAAGAAACAGAGGAGTGTCCTGTTGAAAGTTTAAAAGCATGCAGAAGCTGACATGTTGTGGCTTGGCAGGGAAGCGGGTTGGTGGTGAAGAATTGGCTGAGGACGGCGGGGTACAGCCACCATGGAGGCAGGTCCAGGTGCAGGTGCAGGAAGATCATGGCGATGGCGGGCGGCAGCAGCAAGGAGGTTGACGAGGAGAAGCAGACAGAGCAGGATCGGTGGAAGGGACTCGCGTACGACATCTCCGACGACCAGCAGGACATCACCAGGGGGAAGGGCCTCGTCGACTCCCTGTTCCAGGCTCCCATGGGTGATGGCACCCACGAGGCACGAGTACCTCAGCCAGGGTCTCAGAACGTACGTAATTAAGCACATTCAATAATGCTTGAAATATAATGCTGCGTTGCATGCACATTTTGATTAATTAATTAATTAATTGCTGCAGGTACAACCTGGACAACACCATGGACACATCTCCAAGAACTTGATGAAGCTGCCCAACATCCAGGGCAAGTCGTTCCAGTGTGATCTCGTCTTCGCCAAGATGGGGATCAAGTGAGAGTAGGAAGTACAACTGCATTGCATGCTGCGTGTGTTGTAATAGTAGTACAACTGCATGCATGCAGCCTCATCATGATGAGCGCCGGAGAGCCCGCGAAGCTGATCCGGCAGCGGTACCGCGAGGCGGCGGACATGATCAACAAGGGGAAGATGTGCGTGCTGTTCATCAACGACCTGGACGCGGGGCGGCACGACGCAGTACACGGTGAACAACCAGATGGTGAACGCGACGCTGATGAACATCGCGGACAACCCCACCAACGTGCAGCTCCCAGGGATGTACAACCCCCGTCCCCATCATCGTCACCGGCAACGACTTCTCCCGCTCATCCGCGACGGGCGCATGGACAAGTTCTACTGGGCTCCCACCCGCGAGGACCGCATTGGCGTGTGCAGGGGCATCTTCCGCAGCGACAAGGTCCCCGACGCGTTCCCATCGACTTCTTCGGGGCGCTGCGGGCGCGGGTGTACGGCGACGAGGTGCGGCGGTGGGTGGCGGAGATCGGGGTGGAGAACATCGGCAGGAGGCTGGTGAACTCCGCCGGATCGAGTTGGAGCAGCCCAAGATGACGATCGACAAGCTGATGGAGTACGGGCCGGCACATGCTGGTGAGGGAGCAGGAGAACGTCAAGAGGGTGCGGCTCGCCGATAAGTACCTCAGCGAGGCGGCGCTCGGAGACGCCAACCACGACTCCGGCGAGTTCTACGGCAAGGCCGAGCAGCAGTCGCCCGTCCCCGTGCCGGCGGGATGCACCGACCAACGCGCCGCCAACTACGACCCTACCGCCAGGAGCGACGACGGCAGCTGCGTCTACAACTGAACTCAATCCATCACCAATTCACCACCAGCTTCTTAATTTTGCACTTGATTAATGAATATATATATATATATATATATGAACACCATCGATATGCTTCCTTGTACTTCGCACCCTATATAGCCTGTACCCTTAACAAAGAGGAACGTTTAATTTGTCACTACTGCACCCAAATTAACTAGTATTATTTAAATTAATCGTATGAGAATTTTTAAAGTATAGTACATACTAAAATTTTACACTACAAATTTTAATACCTCGAAGTATGTGATATGTGGTGAAATTACACTTGTCATATACTAATACATTATTAGTATTTTTGCACATAATCCAATCGTTTGTCACATAGTTCATTAATTATCCACTAGTGTACTAGCAGTACTGTATGCATATGCAACGATACGTACGATCTCTGGATACTGTGGATGTGCCATCATATCGCTGATTGATATATACACATGCTGACTATATACGGGGATATCCCCTAGTTATTTGCATGTCATTCAAATGATTATAAAAAAATTTGAAAAAAAATTGAGAAGGTCTATTAACATGTGATATAACACTCCACAAATATACAAGTTCAAGTTCAACTTCTACAAATTGTAATGAAAAATACAAATTAAACAACAGCTAGTTAATGTATATTCAGAGTTAAATTTGTTTTTTTCGTTACGAGATGTCGAAGTTGAATTTTTATTTGCATGTTTGTAGAGTGATATATCACATGTTAATATATCTTCTCAATTTTTTTCATAACCACTTGAGTGACATGCAATCAACGAGGGAATATTTCCTTGAGGGATCCAAATCCACTTCCCTATATATGGATGTATTCTCAACTTGCGGGTTGCATTTGTTACTACAGATGCATGCTATATCAAAGTTCCTGTGCTATTCATCATGTTGCACGATAACAATTAGCGTATCACTGTAAATCTGTAATGATGCACAAGTTGGGGAATGTTATCCAATTCCAATATGTGCGCTAGTACTTGCCTAGTGAGATGACTGTTATTTTCCAATGTACTGGAGACTCGACCTTACAAGTGTCGTTACCAATCACTTGCCTCCATCTCAAACGTCTTAGTAGGGACAAGCTAGCTAGGAGAAATTTCACATGACTTGCATAAAAGATTACTACTGACATGACATGAGCAAACAATTAATTTTCAAAAGTTACGAAAAGCAATATAGAGGCTTAGGAGGAACGAAAGCTATGAACCACAAATAAATTCATCTTAAGGCACTGCTGCAGATTTAGCTGCCTCCGATTGATGCTTCACCAAAAAACAATATCAACAGCAGTGCAAAATTAGAATTTTTGTATTTTTGTGGTAACGGAAACCATCAAAGGGGAAAAAACGTACAATGCTTATGTTGTATGTTAAGAGAAGTTTGTGTGGTGCCAAATGACAGTCCTAGCCTGATGGTTATCGAGAAAGCAGAATATGTGCAGGTAGCAGAGCAAAATATTTGTGGTAGTCCAACTAGAATACAATTTGCATGCCATGCCTCATCCAAGAAGCCGGGCAACGAGAGGCAGCAAAAGGCTTTTCTGTGGTGATGCAAAATGAAGAGGTTATGTAGTAGCTGAGCTGATGAAGCAACTGGTCGCTAGCTGCCGGCCGGGAGACGAATGTGAGGCAAGGAAAGAAAAGAAAAAACAGAGAGAAAGAGTTGATCAGAAATGGGTGAATTCTGTGGTGAGGAAAGGTCAAGGAACTGAAGCCAAGAGATCCTTCCTACCTACACTAATACAATATACTCCTAACTCGCTCACAGACTCCGATCCAGGTCCAAGTCATGCTATGCTGTGGATCGGCCGGCCGAGATTGCGCCACGTGTGCAGAACCCAATCTTCAGCGTGTGGCCTGTGGAGGATCTGGAAGCTGATCCACAGGGACGAGTGTGTGCCTCTCACAGCCTCCAACTTCCATGGCGACGTCCAATTCTATTGTATTATTTAAGGCCTACCGCAGCTCGGCCTCTACACTTTGAGCAGCAGCGGCCGGCCATCATCAGTGATCCTCTACAATCATCGACTTTCAGCAAATTAAGATGGCTGCTGCCTTCTCCTCCACCGTTGGAGCTCCGGTACACATACATACGCAGCTAGCTAGCTAGCTTGATAAGTACATGTTTTTGCTGCAAATTAAATGAGGATACTTACTTGCGAGATTAATGGATGTGCAGGCGTCCACTCCGACCAACTTCCTGGGGAAGAAGCTGAAGAAGCAGGTGACATCGGCGGTGAACTACCATGGCAAGAGCTCCAACATCAACAGGTTCAAGGTGATGGCCAAGGAGCTGGACGAGGGCAAGCAGACCGACCAGGACAGGTGGAAGGGTCTCGCCTACGACATCTCCGATGACCAGCAGGACATCACCAGGGGGAAGGGTTTCGTCGACTCCCTTTTCCAGGCTCCCACGGGTGATGGCACCCACGAGGCCGTCCTCAGCTCCTACGAGTACCTCAGCCAGGGTCTCAGAACGTACGTACTAAATCTAATTTGTACACCACACCAATCGATTTTATTCATCATATTCATATATATGCTGAATTGAATCGAATTGACTGACTGGATATATGCATACATACCTCCAGGTACGACTTCGACAACACCATGGGAGGCTTCTACATCGCCCCTGCTTTCATGGACAAGCTCGTCGTCCACATCTCCAAGAACTTCATGACCCTCCCCAACATCAAGGTCCCACTCATCCTGGGTATCTGGGGAGGCAAGGGTCAGGGAAAATCCTTCCAGTGTGAGCTCGTCTTCGCCAAGATGGGGATCAAGTTAGTATGAACTTTCGAATTAATTAGTAGTATGTATGTACTTGCTTGTTGCTAATTGACTTACAACGTACGTACGTACTTACAGCCCCATCATGATGAGCGCCGGAGAGCTGGAGAGCGGCAACGCCGGAGAGCCGGCGAAGCTGATCAGGCAGCGGTACCGTGAGGCGGCAGACATCATCAAGAAGGGGAAGATGTGCTGCCTCTTCATCAACGATCTGGACGCGGGTGCAGGTCGCATGGGAGGCACCACCCAGTACACGGTGAACAACCAGATGGTGAACGCCACCCTGATGAACATCGCCGACAACCCAACCAACGTGCAGCTCCCCGGGATGTACAACAAGGAGGACAACCCCCGTGTCCCCATCATCGTCACCGGCAACGACTTCTCCACGCTGTACGCGCCGCTCATCCGTGACGGGCGTATGGAGAAGTTCTACTGGGCTCCCACCCGCGACGACCGTGTCGGCGTCTGCAAGGGTATCTTCCGCACCGACAACGTCCCCGACGAGGACATCGTCAAGATCGTCGACAGCTTCCCAGGCCAATCCATCGGTACATCCATCTGCAACCAAAAATGCTATCAATGACCAAATTAATTAAAATTAAAGGAAACTGAAACTGAATGGTCGAATTGCTGCATGCAGATTTCTTCGGCGCTCTTCGTGCCCGTGTTTACGACGACGAGGTGCGCAAGTGGGTGTCGGACACGGGTGTGGAGAACATTGGCAAGAGGCTGGTGAACTCGAGGGAGGGCCCACCGGAGTTCGAGCAGCCCAAGATGACGATCGAAAAGCTCATGGAGTACGGATACATGCTTGTGAAGGAGCAGGAGAACGTCAAGCGTGTGCAGCTGGCTGAGCAGTACTTGAGCGAGGCTGCTCTTGGTGACGCTAACTCCGACGCCATGAAGACTGGTTCCTTCTACGGTTAGATCCAACACCCTCCCACTACTCTACACCATCATCATATATGATACATCTCTCTCTATCACTGTATATATATATATATATATATTATGAAAGAAACAAAAATAGCTTCCTCTAAATTAATTATGACCAGCTAAAACGCACAAATTAAGATTTGTTATACATGTTATTCTATCTATAGCGCAGGGGCGGAGCCACGTGTCGAGCAGCTTAATTAGGCTTGAGCTCCACACGTGGCAAGAAAATTATTAGGGCCGGAAAAGCATAAATTTCTAGTTACAATTTGTTATACTAAATGATTGAGCCCTATGCATGACAAAATTCTACCTCCGCCCCTGTCTATAGGTTCTGCGCCATCCAGCTGAATAAAAGATCTCTAGCTATTCGCATCCCATCGATGCATCGTAGGCGGCCTGCATAGGAGGAGGAGGTGATTTAACCCCTTAACTCTTCACTATTCCATTTTGTAATTCCTGTATACAGTCCTTCAGCATACATGCATGTATGAAGACATATCCGGTGAAAACAATCTATGTGTTAGGAACCAATGAAAATCATACAAAAAAGTTTTGTAAATTCATGAAAATACTACTAGAGATATATAGTGCAGATATGAAATATATTCTTACCAAATTTCAAGTTCAAACTCAACTTTATTTGTGAGAATTTTTGTTTCTCTCAAATGAAGTTAAGTTTGGACTTAAATTTGGTAACAATGTATTTCATATCTACACCTCTCTAGTAATTTTTTCATGAATTTATAAAATTTTTAGATATAATTTTCACTAGTTTCCAACACTAAGCTCGTTTTCAAAGGATATTTCCCTTATATATATATATATATATATTTATATATATATATATATATTTATATATATATATATATATATATATATATATATATATATATATTATATTCTACTATATCTTGTCTGCATTTTCTCAAACATATAATACTATACTCCTATGTTATGTACTATATAGATCGATAGGTTGCTGATTAAAGTTAGTACTTGGGATAATTTGGATCAGGGCAAGGAGCACAGCAAGCAGGTAACCTGCCTGTGCCGGAAGGTTGCACCGACCCTGTTGCCAAGAACTTCGACCCAACGGCGAGGAGCGACGACGGCAGCTGCCTTTACACCTTTTAAGCAGGCCGGCTTGACGCTTGCTATTAATTATTTCTCCTTTTTATGTTTTCTCTTTGTTCTGTGTATCAGATCGCGCCCAAGCCATAGCTGGGCATGACAAGTTTTTGTTAATAATAATATAATATAAAGATATGGGCTATACTATACATGAGTATATTTCATTTGGGTATCATTTGTCAATTTCTGTGTCCATCCAGTGTTTTCTTAGAACAATACTGTAAGACGGTTTACTGTCAGCCAAAATGCTAAATTAAGCAATGGGAACAATACGGTTTGCACTCCTTCTAATTTATTCGGCAAGTCTTTTGCCGCTTTTCGTTTCAAAAAAAAAACTTGGGAGAGTGGAATGCTAATTCACATGTGACATTCATGGAACAAAATTGAGAGATAGAGAGAGAGTACCGATGAATGTAATCAAACAGGTAGGAAGAAGGCAGGGGTGCGAGGGTTGATGAGTGATGACGCACCTTCCTTGTGAAGCATTGTGACGAACACACAAGGGGAATAGCAAGCATTAGCAGCACCAGCATGAAAGAAAGAAAGGGGAATCGGTGGAAGAGGTGACGCTGAGGAGGAGGAGGAGGAGGAGGAGGAGGAGGAGGAGGAGGTGGCTCAGCGCCATCGCCTAATCGCCATCGCAATCGCGGTTGAAGATGGGATCGCCCTTTGAGGCATTTGGACGAACACAGATCAAGCATGCATCACCATCGGTGAAGCAAGCAGCAGCACGAAAGAGATCGGTGGACGCTGGCTGAGGGTGGGTGGCGAGCGGAAGCAGCAGCAGCAGCAGGGCCATCGCCATCGGAGTTGAGGAGGATCGGATGGAGTCGGCGGCGAATCGCAGCGATGGATGGATATCATCATATCGTGAGGTGAGGGGAGGAGAGGAGGGGACTCCGTAGTGGAGTGGTATCCGATAGATTCTGGGCCAGGTCCATTAAGCCCACTATCCCAGCTCCACGTTTCTGGGCCGGCCAACGTAAATGCACATAGGCCCCTGGCCTATATTTAAGTGGCCCATATTTCTGTGATCGTGGCCCACACATCCACATGTTTCAATCACGTGAGAGTATGTACACTTAGACTCCCTTAAATATATATGTCCAATATAATTCGTATCCCTCGGTTACAGTATCAGATATCCTAAACCCTCAACTATTAAAACAGGTGTAAAATAACTCGCTCGGTAGTTTTGAGTTGATTTTCGCTGACGTGGCATGTTAGCCTAGTCCAATCATTGAGCCAACATGTGCAGACCCACATAACATCCCCCTCCCTCTCTGGCTCTCTCCCCTTTCCTTCTTCCTCCTCTCTCTTTCTCCATTATCTCTCTCTTTCCCATTACATTCCCCCTCTCCAAGATATTTAACTATTTGTCACTCTTATAAGTGGCAATTAAGGATTTGCCACTAGATCCACATGTCATAAATATACAAGGGCCACACGTCATAGATTGTAAGTGACAAATCCTTCATCGCCACATCTTAAAAGTGGCAATAAGTAAAATACCCCCCTTCTCCATAGTAGCAGCATCGGCTGGTGGCTAGCTCCCAGCAAAGCGAAGCTGAACCGGGGGCAGCGACCCACGACTTGGACGGTCGAGACGTCGCCGCTAATCACTTTAACTTCTGCCACGGTAGCCTCGACAAAGCCGTCGGCCTCTACTTTGCGGCCGTCATGAAGGAGCCTATTGGCCCATCCATCTCGACCCACTGACAGTGGTCTGCGGCTTGGAGTAATATAACCGCGTCCTCCTTCACGATGCCACTCTCTACCCGTGTATATGCGGACTAGGTGAGGGCCATCATGTCCCAACCCCCACGAGCTCCTTGTCACGCCCCGAATTAGTCCCGACCGGAACTAACCCGTGACGCTCCAAATTAACCTGTTAATCGATACCAGTCCCAGGAAACAGTGCTGGTATCACAGGGAGACAGAATATCACAGCAACAGAAGTCTCTTTATTATAGAGTAGAAGTACAGTCATGTTGGGCTGCGGACAGATCC